GCTTGGAGCATGTTGCAGCATCAAAGCCGCGTGGCCAGCGATATTCAGACTGAGTTTCGCTCGACGAGTTCACCATGGTTCTGATTCTTCATAGCTGCCATTTCCCTTGAGCTGAAAATCTGTGTAGGAATTCGTCTGTGGCGGCAACTGCTCTTAGCAGGGAACATGCTTTGTGGCTGATTTAGTCCTAATCGACAAGCATATAAGTCATGGGGGTTCAGCTCACCCACCGTTCAACAGGGTATTATTGGACATTACTATAGTAAAGAGATTGAAGCGTCCGTAGGCAACGCATGGTCCAGATTCTTAGCGGTCTAATACTGGGCGGTCGTTCAAAGCTGACTGTGTGTCTCTGTGCGTCTGTGTGGATGCGCTCGTATCATGGCTGCAGTTCGTTCCCCATCGTCTCACATGCGCCTTGCGCTCCTATTCGATGAACCCAGCTTGGCGAGAGCGGTTTGAATTGGGATTTGCATTCTTGAAAATCCAATCCGTTGCCAGATCCAAAACGGAGTCTGCCTTGTGGAGGTGGAAATCGAAGGATGCAGTAAAAAGGGAGCCCGGCTCTTGGATCCGTCAGACAAAGCGCCGCAACCGTTCTTTTGTTAGCGGCCATTAGGAAAGAAAAGTCTAGTCTATCTGGTGAAGAAGTTGCCGCCCGGTACCTTATCTGGGTCTCAGTCTGCACTTCTTCGCTTCGTGCCTTCTTTTTTCATTGAAGCTTCTGTCCCGCACCTGCCTGTCGATCGCTCTTTGCGCGCGCCTGGGCAGTTCAGGCAGTTGGCAGGATCGAACCTCCAGCGGCTCCTGCCTGTTCCACTTTGCCCGTGGCTTCTTCGGCCCCTGCAAAGCCTTTCTCGCCTGGTCTCCTATACAAGGTTTATGGTTATTACGACTACGGAGTCCTTGTACCGGCCATTTCGTCGTCGTCGATCTCCAAAAAAAACCTGTACATCCATTACTAGTACCTTACCCTTGCCTGTGCTTTTCTTATCTCCCCTCTATTATCTCGATTCCTTTTGCGGAACCCTCAAGAAGCCTCTCGTAGGCTTTCCATCTCATCCGCAGACCTTTCTTTTCTTTTTCTCATCCTTTTCTCATTGATTTCTCTCCCACCTCATCGTGCCCCTCCGAGACGGCAGTAGTTGCCACTATCTCACCAGTCACGCAATACGCCTTTTGTTTGCTTTTTTGTTTGCATCCTTTTGGTTTATATTTTTATTTATTTTATTTATTTTCCTTATTTCTCTTTGGCCAGCGGATTTACAAATTTAAAGTGGACGACGCCCAAATCTTTGCGATTGCGACTGCGACGCCCAAGACCCTCAGAACCGCGGGTGTTCGTCACCTTGCCTCGCTCCATCCGCCATGGAGCGCACGGCCTCACTTCTCAGCTTCAGTAGCCGTTCTAGCTCCTCCGCTTCGACGAATAGAAACAATGAGCCCTTATTACCATATGCAGAAAGTGCCATGGAAACGAAATCAGTTCGAGGGCTTTCTATCTTCGGCCGAGGTTTTTATCGGAGAATCCTGATATGGACTGTCGCAAGCATGATTCTTGTGTCGCTCGCTCTCTTCAAAGCTGGTGACGGTATTGCCACTGAGACATTCTCCCAGCCTGCCACAGCAACAAAGTATTCGCCCCCTCAGCCTACAATAATCGGGAATGAAGATGGTGGTCCTGTTCTAGTGATCGTGGAGGGCAAGAACAAAGACAACCAGGATAAACCGCCAGAGAAGGTAGATGACGAGAAGAAGGAACCTACGAACAAAGACAACCAGGATAAACCGCCAGAGAAGGTAGATGACGAGAAGAAGGAACCTACCGAGAGCAAAAAACCGGAAGAGACACCAACAGAAGGCGAAAAGAAAGAGGGTAGCAGTGAACAGGACCAAGAGAAGATCATAAAAGAGGAGCAAGGGAAAACGACAGAGCAAGAGAAAGAGAAAGATGACCAGAAGAGCCAGTCATCTATAGACGACAAAGACGAACTGAGCGCAGAAGAGGACGCGGAGAATCAGAAGATGTGGGACGAAGACATCAAGAAGATGCCATGGCTTCGGTTCCCTCAGTGAGTTCCCCAGCCGCATTAGGGAGGCATCAGACTACTAACATTGCTCTTACAATTAGTTTGAACGGCTACTTCCATGGTCTTAAAGCTCTGGTCAAGAAATCTGAGCACATTGCTGAATATCCCAATCCCGCTCAGAAAGCTCCTCTTGGCGATCCTCCGCTCAGCCAAGAGATCCCTAAACCTAAGCCCTACAATCCATACAACACGTCCGATTCGAGCATCAAAACTTGCTATCTCGACAACGAAGAGAAGATCCCAGCACCCAGCATATATGCCTATGAAGGCGTTCCGCAATATATGCCTGATCCAGCCTTTGGATCTTACTCCATGTTTGGGTTTCGCGATGATGTTTGTTTTGATCGATTTGGTCGTTATGGGCCATATGGCTTTGGCTACGACATTAAAGATGGTGGCGCTGGCGTGGGTCTCAACACAGAGTCCTCAGGAAGCGAAGCTGTCTGGAAGGAAACGGGCCAAATCGATTATGGCCGGATTGATTGGGGCGACGTGCAGGAACGATGTGTTACCGCCAACAAGCACCGGTTCACAGAGCCAGACCCAGAGACCGAAGTGCTCAAACCGGAGGAGGGTAAGAAGAATCGGATCGCCGTAGTGCTCCGCCTATATACCGGATTTAAGTGGACGCAGTTCTCAGTACTGAACCTCCGGGCTATGATCAACGAGCTAGCTCTCAAATCTGGCGGAGATTATAATGTCCATTTTCTGCTGCACGTCAAGGACAACGATTCGCCAATCTGGTCTGATGATTTGACAGTCCAACAGTTGCTCGACGCCCACGTACCACCCGAGTTCCATGGATTGGTGACGCTATGGAGCGAAGCCCAGATGAAGCTATTCTATCCTGGTAAATTCGAGGAGCCAATTGGCAATCCCAGCAAAAAGGAAATTCATGATGTATATCGCAGCGCCCATATGCCGCTTCAGGTTTTTGCCTTGCAGCACCCGGAGTACGAGCATTTCTGGAACTGGGAGATGGATATGCGATACCTGGGCAATTGGTATGAACTATTTGACCGCTTGGGCGTCTGGGCAGACCAACAGCCCCGTCCGTATCTTTGGGAGCGCAATTCACGCTACTATATCCCCGCTCACCACGGTAGCTGGGAGAATTTCACGTCTGCCGTCGAGCAATATACGGCCGATTCTGGCGAGGCGCCCGTCTTTGGTCCCGTCGAGTTCCCTGAAACGAAGCAGCTCCGATTTGAGCAGCACGGAAAGTCCATCATACCCACTTCTTGTGCGAGTGATAAAAACAGCCCGCAATGTGGTGTTGGTGAGGCAGCAGATCTCATTACGTTGAATCCGATCTTTGACGTGCATGGCTCAGCCTGGGTATTCTCTAATGACGCAACCGGCTATGGAAAGACTCCTCCAAGAAGATGTGTCATTATCACGGCATCTCGACTAAGTCGTCGGCTGTTGATGGCGATGCATGAGGAGATATGGCGCCATCACCGCACGATGTGGACCGAAATGTTCCCTTCCAGTGTGGCCTTTCACCATGGTTTCAAGGCCGTATACGCGCCTCACCCAACATTCCTGGACCGTGCTTGGGATCCTCTTGGCAGTTCAGTTGATAAAATTTTCAACGGTGGACGTGACCACTCGACTTCGGCTGTGGGCAGCCCGTTTGATCTGCGCAACGAACACAACCACAGAGGTACAAGCTGGTATTACAACAGTGAATTCTCAGGCCTTCTATGGCGGCGATGGTTGGGCTTTGCTCAACTGGACGGCAGAGGTCGTAATGGCCATCGAAAGGAAGGAGGGGGTAAGCTGCGAGGTGGAAAGGCAGAGGAGGAGGCCGAAACGAGCAGCGGCCGCATGTGTTTGAGGAGTTTTCTCATGCACCCGATTAAATGGGAAAGCCCTGAGGATAAGCCCTGAAAAATAACAAAGCAAGGGTGCTAAAAAATGGATTTCAGCAAACTTGAAGCGTGGCGCAGTTGCATTTTTAGCTGGACGGATGCATATGGAAATCGGCGTTTATTCTTTCTATACTCTTTTAACTTTTTCTCTCTCTTTCTTGTTTGCTCCTCAACGCCAATATACATAACACAAGTTGAGAATGACGGCTTTGATTCTGTTACTTTGAACGGAACATGTTAGGTCAACACAGTAATTGTTTTTCTATATCCTGTGGGAACTGGTCAGGCGAGAGAAGATGGATTATTCACGTTCTTTTGGTATAAGGATAGACATTTGGGATTCGGCCAATACATGGCTTGTGCATTATAGATATAGAGGTTTCATGAATAAGCATTCAGGCATGAAGCGCTCTTGGATATAAATATACGTATTTTAAAAAGAAGAAGCATTTTCATATAACTCGTGGCCTAATTCATCTACTGCGAATAAAATAACAAGTTTCCCTATCCTCCAGCGAAGACTCGCCAATCCAACCCATTTCAGAAGCAAATAAGAGATAGATAAAATTCACCAAAAAAAACCTTGCTCCCCTCTCCCTTAAAAGCCCAGGTAACTGAAAATCATAAACCATCGCAAACCAAAATGGCAGAAACACCCCTAGCGTCAAAAACGTTGATAAAAAATAATGATGATTTTGAGAGAAAAGCAACGATAAAGAGGTAGCTTCTGGCTTGAACGAGAGAAACAGCCAATTTTCTGTCCAAGTAAGTTTACCAGCATTCCAAGCCAGCAGATTTCCAAAACCGCGCAAAAGAGCCGAAGAAAACGAAGGCAAGCAGAAACAATAAAAGGATAGCCACGGCAAGAAAAAAAGACAGCATTAGTTAGAGTCGCGCTTTGACGCCGTCCAACACCTAAAACGCCGCTTCCCCTTCCTTCCTTTGTTACGCCACTATGCTAAATCGCATAGTACCCCGATATTGATCAGGGTTGTGGAAGTCTCATTCCACAATAGCAAGTTTCTTCTTTGCGCATTTATTTCTTCAGGACCGCATCGTAGATGCTAAGCAATCCAGTAATGGCAGCTCCAGTCAGTATGCCCTTGTAGCCTCCGTACACGGCTCCGTCAAGCCGATCAATAGCTGTCTCAGACAGGAGACCGCCAAAGGTGACACCCTGACCATACACAACGAATGAGACGAGTGCCTTGACAATGCTGTAGGTCAAGGGATCGACAGCAGTGTCCGGAGTGCTAACCCGAGAGCGCGTCTTAGCGCCCTGGGCGCCGCTGGCAGAGCTGAGGTTGAAAAAGTAGCCAAACAGGCTGGGCAAGATGAAGCTGGTAAAGGCCCAGGTGAGAGCAGGTGACCAAAAGCTCGCGGTGAGCAGGAGGAACATATCGGGCAGGTACACGGGGTGGTCGGACGTGCCGAGGAAGCCGATGGCAGGGACGGTGAATGCGTAGCGGTTAGCCAGGATCTCGGGTCGAATATACCAGAGTTCGAAAGCGGAGACGCAAAGCAGAATGCTGGTAACGCTGCTGAGAGTCTCTCGAGCAGCGTTGGAAGTCTCGCCAATGCCACTCTCCTGGTAGATGGACGAGACACGGCGGCGCACGGCAATGGCTGAGCGATCGACAGCGTTGGCTACGTCGGCCGGGGTCGCGGGCAGTGAGATGCGCGAGGCAACTTGCGACAGACTGCGAGCAGGGGTCTGGATGAGGGCAGTTGAGGCGGCGCGGACGTCTTCAGCATCTCTGGAGAGCCGGTTAGAAAGAGATTGACGATGATGATTCGGCCAAGTCCAAGACCGCAGCGGATCTCAGACCCAGGCAGGCAGGAACTGTATGGGAAGTACTTACGTGTTCAGCAGATCCTCAGCAGCCTTGGTCGCCCTCCGCTTGATCGTCTTGATGCCCTTTTCCAGCTCTTCCTTGATGGGCTCCTTGGACTCTCGCTTGACGGGAGAGCCCATTGCCTTGGACCGGCTGTTGAAGTAGCCCGACAGATCAGATCGGCTGTTGAAGCGGCTGCTGTTCCCCGCAATGAACTCATCGAGAACGATCTCGAGTTCCGATTTTTTGAGACCATCGTAGCTAGTTCGCGGGACGATTCCGTGTTAGCTTGCTTTTTTTTTTTGTTTACTTTTGTCTAGAAGCAACGGTGGCAATGCGGCGACGCGCTCATGACGAGGGGTAGTGGGATTGCGCGGTTGAGGAAGAAAAGAAGAAGGAAAAGACAGGATTTAGGAAAAAGGAAGTAGAAGAAGCGAAGACGAATGAAGCCGAGCTTGCTCTTGAAGCTGTAGCCTCTCCATCGCGCCTGGCGCAACAATCGTTACGCGCGCGCAGCTACAAACAGCCGCCACCATCGCTGCTGAAAAGGCGGCGAGCGCTATGGCAAACAAAACAATGACGCAAGGGATGAAGATGCGACAGCATTGTCCAAATGCGCTTCGCATCCGGGCAGAACAAAAGGTCATAGCGGGAAATCAAATGAATAGAACCGTAAAACTCACTTCTGGAGGCCGACACTCTCGGCCAATTCGACGAGATCGCTCTTGCGCTGAGCGCGCAGCCAGGCGTTGGAGGGCGCAGTGGCGGTCATGGGGACGGTTTGCAGAGACGAGAGGGCGATGCGGAAGCGATATTCTTGCGGTGCGCGGCGATGCGACGTAATGCGATGCGATGCGAGGCGATGACAGGCGGTTGTCTCTTTTTCTTTAGTCGCAGTAGAATAAAATAAAAATAAAATAAGAGGTAGGTCGAGTGATTCAAATGCCCAATGATATTCTTGCGGTGTGTGTGTGTTGCGTTCCCCAAAAAGAGACTGTTATGTGATTGGCTAAATTGCAGAGCTCGGTTTGTTTTCTCCGCAGCACTCGCGCTGAATTTCAGAACGGCAGCTGGCAGAAGCAACGTGTGTGTGTGTTTGCTATCTTTGTTTTTCTTCTTTCTCTTTCTCTTTCTCTTCTGTGATCGTTATAAGTGTGTCTTCACTGATAGTGGCGATTTGTAACAAGTAATATCAATATAATGAGTAATGAAAAATTACAAGGGCTTGTGGTGAGTTGTGCCAGCGAGGGCTGCGGCTACAAACAGCTGTCCAAAGCCCAAAAAGTGGGATGTCGAATGTTTTCTTGCTGGTTGCTGGGCGTTGCTGGGCGGATGCGGGGAGCGGCCGTACTGTACAGTAAGTACGGATAGTAGTAGGATATTGAGAAAAAATGATAAAAAGGCTCGCGCGGGATAAGGCGGGCTATTTGTCTTGTTTATGTTGGCCTCTTTAGGACTAGACCCGACTGTTTCCTCTCCCACCGTTTTCTGCTTGCGTGTGGCTGAACGCTGCAGCAGCGGCAAGGAGGGGGACAAGTCGCCCGCTTGTTGCTGCGTTTGCCAGTGCCACGCTGGCAGGCGTCTGGGAGCCGGCGCTTGCGAGGTTCCCCGCTAACAAGCGGTACCTCGAGGGGACGTCGCGTGGCTGGAGGGATGGAGCTGGAGAGTGAGTGATAGATCGACATTGGCTGGGATGAAATGGGGCAGAGCGCCGCTGATGCGAAGAGAGCTGTCACCAACAGCAGAAGCTGCGTGTGAAGCTGCCGCTGTTTCTTATGAGAAATGGAAATGCATTGAGGTTTACTGGGATATCAGGCGGTGATGGACTTGGTAGTATGTGATTATTGACTCTGCTGCATATGGAGCACATTTACCTACCTATCAGGTATTCCATGTTGCCAGAGTGGAATATGGTGATGCGGTAGTATCGATTGATACTGCCTGATATCACCCCGGTTGATCCAGAGTGCCATCGAGTATGGGGGGCTGCAAATGGCACACTGCAGAAAGCTCCGCATTTGATGCCTGGCATGGTGATGGCGATATGGGGTATCTGCAGCGGCTTCCTTTGCCTTCCTACCCAATGCTGCATTCCTTGCGATTGGGCCTTGATGGAAACACCTACATTCATACTTGTTTTGATTTGTCAATGCTTGTTCCAGCCTACTTACATGTAGTATATTATGCCAATGCTGTGTGCAATATTGTGATTCTCATAGCCGGCTCGTTATATGAACACTTGTATGAAACATTCACATCTTTGTACAAAAACCAGCCTCCAAGAGTATCCATTCACTCTTTATCCACCCAGTCCACAAACTTCTCCTCTCCCCTCTTGACAATCCGCACCGGCACGTACTGGCCGTCGTGCAGGTTCAGCGTCAGCCTCGACGTCGCCTGTCCCACCGTCCACCGGCTCTTGTCCTGAGCCTTCTTGTAGATGCGCGCCCTCTCCCCCCGGCTCATCTGATCGACCTGCGCCGGCGCCGCCCACTCGTCCACGGCGAGCTCGACGCTGTAGCTCCGGAAAATGACTGCCAGCGCCGCCATCATTTCCACCACGGCAATGCGGCGTCCGAGGCACGATCGGGCCCCGTCGCTGAAGGGAACGTAGGATCCTCGCTCGGGTCTGAAGAGCTGCGCGTTGATGTCCGAGCCCTGGAAACCGCCAAAATCTTCCGAGTCGGCGCCGGCGACGTCTTCGCTGCCCGCGCTGCTGTCCTTGTCCATACTTTGGAACCACCGCTCTGGAACATAGTCGAGAATATTGGATTTGCCGGGGGTTACTTTGCTTGGTCGTGTTGGCCAGTAACGAGGGTTGACGTGAGCAGAAATCGTCACCAATGAGATACCCGTGTTCTTGGGAATGACATATTTATCGCCGTCCATGACCAAGGGCTGATCGCTGTACGTAGTTTTGGGAATCACAACCACAGGGGACATGAGTCGCATCGTTTCGTGCATGGCGGCACCAATCATGCTGGCAGTCATGGGGTTGACCAAGCTTTCATAGTCCCAGTCTTTCGGGTCCTGGCCCTGGGTGATATTATCAATATCCTGTTGAATCTTGCGCTGCGCTTCAGGGTTCATTGCTAGGAAGATGAGGGTGAAGTGGATGGTGTTGGCTGTTGTTTCATGGCCAGCCACAAACATGATGAAAGCGTTGCTGATGATTTCCTCGCGACTCAAGGTAGCATCCTTGTTATCGGTTCCAAAACAGGATTTCGCAAGCTGGCCCATGAGATCCATGCCTTCTATGTGGTCTCCCTTGCGTGCGTCTTCAATCTTTTCGTCCAGAAGCTCATTCATGTATTTCACATATTCGTCGTAAGCCAGCACTGCCTTCTTGATCTTCTCAAAAGGCAGTAATTCTGTAATCCAGAGCATCAGCGTCTCGTACGAAGAAACATATCGATATAAGGTACAAAAAGGACACTTACGCAGAAACCACCGTGGGAAAAGCAGTAAAACCAGGAGGCGCTCAAGTAGAAACTCCATGGTATCTGTGAAACTCAGCTCGTGACCTACCGAAGGCTCATGCGAGCCGTATTTCAACAGCTTGGGATCCGTCCCTGGAGCATGTGTTGCTCCTGGCCACAGCAATCGCATCCCGAAACCAACATAACTGATAATATTCAGAGCTAGTCTCATCGTATCCCTCTGGAGAGAGTTGAGCGGCTCCTTTCTGGTGTTACCTTCAGGGCCTGTCCACATACGCAGCATGCCTTGAGTCTGAACAATGGCCTCGCGGAAAACCAAGGCGGCGTTTCTCTCGTTAAATGAAGGCGAGGTCACCTTCCGGTGCATCCGCCAAATACTGCTTTCAGTAGTCAAGACATTCTCACCAAACTGCCTCAAGATGTTGTAGACGGCAGTCCATTTGGGGAATTGCTCTCGCTTCAACGTAATGGTACGGATCGTTTCGGCATTGTCCGTGAGCAGCATCAATCTGCCGGGAGAAACAAGGAAGAAGGTTTCGCCAACCTTGGCGAACCACTCATGGCGAGTTGTATATACAAAGTTGGGACGCATGATACTTGGAGACCAGAGTTGTTAGCCAGTCGACCATATTGGGAAAGCGAACAGTCTATAAGAGGGGCCATCTCATACTCGAGCCATCCATCCCACCATGACTTTGGAAGTAGCTTGATGAGAGGAATCCATAGCTTATGGGTCACTTGCCACCCTATCCAGAACGGCGAACAAGCTGTGTTTTTTGAAGGCATCATGTTAGTATGGCTTACAGAGGGCCATGGAGGCTCGCAGGAGGGTGAATGTTAGTGGACGCACGAAGAACAATATAAGGCAAGCCGCTTCTCTTGGCTTCATTGATATGAAATCGCAGGCGCAAAGCATATGAGATAACTTGGTAGGCGACCAGCGCCGCAATGGCGATGGGGATCAAGGCCATGATTGTACACGACGGCCTATCGACGACGCCGTCACCGTAATTAGACGGACCTCTCGGTGTTTGAAGTATAATAGCAAAGAGAGGCGGGGAAAAGTGTCCTTCAAATCTTCTCGACCTAGGGCGAGTGAGAGTCTCACTATTCGCTCCGTCCAAGCCGATAACAGACAAAGAACAGCCCCTACGTTAAAGGGACATCGACTTATACTCCAGAAGCAGAGTAGGGAAATGGAGCAAAGATGAAGAAATGCAATAGATGAACAGCAAAGCACAACAGTAATATATCCAAAACCCTCCGCAGGGACTGAGCACTGCAGAGTGGATATGCCCACCACAGCTCCCTAATCGAAGCGCTTCATCTCCCCCGGTTCATATTGGCCACCAACGACCTAAGCTTTCTGTGTCGTCGTTTTTTAGCCCCCGCGTCAGAGACCGATGATTAACCTACCTACTGCTACCTAACAAAGTAGAATGCTGCCAATACCTCGAATACCAGTGGCGGATCGTCTTCCTCGGGATGACCAAGATCCGGCACAGTGGCTTTCGCAAACTCCACATGCAGGGGACGAGGCAACTGCGGGTGTTCGCAGGGCTTCGGGATACGGATTTCGTTTCCGCCCGGGTTTGTAGAAAAGGGCAACATGTCCGCAGACTAACGGCCACCAAGGGGTTGCATTTTGAAAATGAGATGGAGGGCATGATTCATGGAAATAGTTTCTTGTTGGTTTACATTCCGTTTGTCGTTTTCGTTTCAGCTCTTCTTTTATTTCATGTAAAATTGCTACTATTAATTCAGCTCGTCCAGGTCGCTTGCTTTACACGCTATTGGGCACTGCTTAAATCCTTCGCCCATTAAATCCTTCGATTCTACACCTACCTACATGTATGCATGTATGTGGAAACGCTCCGTACTCCATAAATTAATATCACGTCTTGCATCGCAGGATAAGTTGCATGGCATGACCAAAGTGCTGATTGTGTGAGTGAGAGCAGTAGTAGCTAGGTAGTAGTAGCAGCATTTGCTAGCTCACACCCCACGGATTATCTCGCAGTCGGCAATGGTGCAGAGAGTGCTCTGGATGCCACCAGTATCAAATGGCTCTTTACATCAATGTAGCTACTATCAAACTCCTATACCTGTAATCCACACCACCAGTTCGATAATCTTGGGTACTAAGGGAAACCTTGAGCTTGGTACCTCTTGTCGATTCATTGAATCTACCATATCTAGTTATTTCTAGCTTGCTGAGTGGGAGAGATGCCGTGGAAGAGTCGCAGTATGCAGTGTACAACAGGCTTGTTGAAATCCTGCACCTTGGGAGATTGCTCTTCTTAGCTCCCCTCATTGCCATTTATTGACTGTACTGCAACTTTGAAACGAAAGTTGTCGTGGTGCAACGTGGATCTGCGCATCCGAACTTGTTGACGAGCGCCATAGCTAGAAGAGAGAAGAGGAAAAGGAAAAATCCATGAATTCTTTTGGGGCATTCCGTGATTTTAAGAATTCTACCACAAACGTGAATGCAAACGTGAATGCAATACCTCGCCAAGCAGTAGCATCTGCCGCTAAATCAACACGGCGAGGCGGTGCAGACATTGTATTCATACTGTACCTAGCGCATGCTTCAATCACGTGAGCACACGGTAAATTCACTAACTGGTTCCAGCTGCAGTCTAGTAACTGCAGCTTTGATTGGTTGGCCGAGTCATGTGACAGTGCCAGGAGGTCTCATCTTAAAACGTACGCGCTGCTGCGCCATTTCTTCTACCTCACCAACCTTCCAACCAGCCACTCAGCCATCAAATGCATCTCACCTAATCGATTCATCGCCTAGAACATCCCGCAATGAATGACGGCGCCATCTACAACGAGGAAGACAACGACGCGACGCAACCTGTTTCCTCGCCTGGGTCAGTGAGATGTCCCTATGCGACTCCAGCAAGCCATGGCTCTGCGTGAATAGCAATTCTGCTCTTCTCGAAGACGTTGCTCGGGACTGTTTCCTGCGGGACAAGGTCGTAAAATTCCGATGCCCACTACGCGCTGGTCGGCTCTTTGAGTTGACTCCGCTGTAAGGGTCGGGACCTTGTTTGGTAGCAGCTATTGCTGTCTGCTACCGTTGCCAGTACATTATCCGCAGCCAATGTCTTCCTTGAGGAGCGGAGGATTTTTTAAGCTCCGCATTCATGGCAAGCTGTCGCTTCGCGTGGATCGCTGTCCTGCTCCGGTGAAGATACTCCTCGGAACTGTTGCCTGCGAGACAAGGTCGTAAAATGCCAATGCCAGCCCTGCGCTCTCAAGCCATCGCTCGACCTGCCTGTGCTATCCAGCCATCGCTTGACTTGCCTGTGCTCTCAGGCCATCGCTTGACTTGCGTCAGTGGAGGGGTTGGGATCTTGTTAGGTAGCAGCTACTATTGTCTGCTACCGTTGCCAGTACATTATCCGCAGCAGTGTTTTCATTTGAAGAGTGGGGGGACTTTTGAAGCTCCGCGCTACTCACTGTATTCACGGCTATGATCAGGGGAACAGCATATGATCGGGCCGTGTTCTTCACCATATGTGATTTGCTAATGTATTCTGACTCTAGATATTCTAGTACCTCCCAAATCAATCGCCTTGACAAAGTAAACAACAATGACGACGGAGATGAAGTGACCAAGAGTAGCATCAATGAAACGCTAGCCGTGACTGAAACTGCAAAAGAAGGCAACGTCGCCGTGATCGACATATCCTATCAGAAGAACAGAGTAACATGGAATGATGCTAGTGAACAGCTTTGTCAGATGGAAGATGTCTCGTTCGACGCGTACTTGAACACTTCAGCCAATACAGCAATGTTCAAGCTTCATGCTTATGTTATCCTCAGAGGCGGCAAAGGCAAGAGCAATAAGCAAGCTGTTTATTTATACATATATCCTGAAAGGGTTCAAGCTATAAAGTACAATGTTTACCACAATCCACAGCCTTCAGCCTCCAAGACATTCCAGCCTCGGCATTACTCACTATGTATCTCCATGACGCAAGCGCCTGATTTGATTCGCCCCAAAGGACGTCCTCTAGACTCTAAAGGCAAAACGAAAACTCGACTACATTTGATTGAAGACCTCGCCAGCGTCACCGAATTCATCGTGCATCTCGACAGCTCCAACGCAGTCCTAAGTAAACCAGACTTCGATTTACTCGAAAAGACATTCTCGGGCGATCGTCCTGAAGGCCGCCCGCGGACAGATCTACCACGAGCAAACCCGGCTACACTGTATGCTGGTAATGGAGGCGAGATTGCCGAGAAGAATGAATTTATGCATAATGCGGAAAGCCCTCCTCCGTACGCTGGCTCTGCGTCAAACGCTCAAAGTTCCAGTAAGCACCATCAATTCATCTTGTGCATCATTCTACACTATCCCTGTTGGACCCAAAACTAACTGTAACAGAAAAACGCCGCCGAGCCGATTACTGTGATGAAGATTCCTCTGGTGTAGCCCGCGTCCTAGTTCTTCTCAAAGACGTTGTTTGCCGATTGGACAATATCGAAAGTCGGATTGACTCACGCTTCGATGATATGGAAAGCCGAGTCTCTGGGCTGGAACAATACATCAAAGACAACCTCAGAGACGTACTGGATAATGGCCGCAGCCCATGTCGATATGGAACAGAAGAGAGACAAGAAATCTATGAAGAGATGACCAACCAGATTGAAAGCTGCACAGAGGACCTAAAATGGAATTGCCAAGATGCAATCAATGAAATGGAGAAGGAGAGCGGCAGGATATTGACTCAAATGAGGGAAGATCTGAAGGAAGATCTGGAGGAAGAAGTGAGACAATCAAGCGACGACGCCTTGGACAACATCGACCGAGCTATAGACGACAGAGTACGAGAAACACTTAAATCCGCGACAATCAGATTCGATGGAACATTTGGCTTGGAATTTTAGGAAAGCAATTGGTTGAGGCGCCTTTAGCTTGGGCGTTTTTCTTCTTCTTCTTTTTCTGGGGGTGACAGGCTGTTGATGAAAACTTATAACGATATTGATTGAATCACGCCTAATACCCTTCACCAATTTCTACAGACATGTGATGTGTAATTCGCTATGCAAATTGGGATCTCATTCCAAAGTAGACATTTCTCTTTCCAAGATGCTAATTTGAGATGTTAATGACCAGCTCGTCTCATCTCCGTATCTAGTACTCCACTTGGCTGTTCCAGAAGTATAAAGTAGAAGCGCCTTTTCGGCCATCAGTTCCCCCGAATCCCAATCCGGATCGATTCATCCAACCGGCCCAAGTCTCCTTATCTGTTGGTAGCCGCCTGCAACTTCGCTTGCCGCCCCTATCATGCAGTCTCTTTGACGAGACAGTAGTACTCTTTGCGTTCTAGAAGATATATGAGACTCCAGCTGATTTCAATACTTCAGTTTACAGCTACGTGCTTACCATATTGTAAGAGAGGGGTTATGTATGCATAAGCATGAATGAAACAGAAGATGGAGAGAAGAGAGAAAGAGAGAGAGTGAGTGCTTTCTAAAGCCATTCTATTGTGCTCTAGCAGTAGTTCTTGTTAACTCTAAACGGGCTAATTGTCCCAATCATAGCCCTGTGCCTCGCATGCCTGCGCCATATGTTGAAGATGCACCAGTCATAAATCCAAAATTCCCTATATCCTTGTTGTGCCCCACGTTGAGTCTCTGGGTATATAATGTTTTCATCAAAAAAAGTCGATAATGTGGCAATCAGTGCCAGTCATGAATGCCGAAAGGAAGAAGACAGAAGAAGAAAAGTTAAATCTGCGTTTGCCTTAGAAAAGACCATCGATCTCGCCTGTCTCCAAGTCGACGTCAACGTTGAGATAGCCAGGAGCAGTGGGGAGACCGGGAATGGTCTGGATGTCAGCAGCCAGAGCATACCTGGAGAGAAGTTAGCATGAGCACCTTTATCCCAAATAGTTGTAGAGAGAAGAATAACTTACAAGTAACCGGCACCGGCAGCCATACGAACATCCCGGATGGGCACAGTAAAGCCAGTGGGCGCGCCCTTCAGGTCAGGGTCGTGCGACAGCGAGTACTGAGTCTTGGCAACGCAGATGGGCAGGTGGCCGTAGCCCTGCTTGGTGTATGTGTCGATCTTCTTCTGAGCAAGCTCACTGAACTCGACATTGGCAGCGCCATACATCTTCTGGGCAATGGCTTCAAGGCGCTGCTCGATGGTACCGTCGAGGCCGTAGGTCAGCTGAAGCTCCTTGGGCTTCTCGCTCGCAGCAATGACTCCCTTGGCCAGGTCAATGGCACCAAGGCCACCCTTGGCCCAGTGGTCAGAAAGGATAGCATCCTCAGCACCAGCGGCAAGAGCCTCCTCGCGGAGAGTAGCGATTTCAGCATCGGTATCGGTCGCGAACTTGTTGATGGCGACAACAACAGGGATGCCGAAAGACTTGGCGTTGGCAATCTGTTTCTTCAGGTTGACACAGCCAGCTCGGAGGATGTCGACATTCTCCTGCTTGTAGACAGCATCGAGGGGAGCGCCAGGGGCAATTGGGGGGCCGCCTCCGTGCACCTTGAGAGCACGGACAGTGGCGACAACCACGACAACGTCGGGCACAAGGCCTGAAGTGCGGCACTTGATGTTGAAGAAACGCTCACCACCCATGGTGAAATCGAAGCCGGCCTCGGTAACAACGAAACCAGTCTTCTCGTTGTGGTTTTCATCAGGTTCAGTGCCAGCGAGCTTCAGGGCCAATCTATCGGCGAGGATAGAGCTCTGACCAATGCTGATGTTGGCAAAGGGACCAGCGTGAACAAAGACGGGAGTGCCCTCCAGCGTCTGCATGAGGTTGGGCTTGATAGCATCCTTCATCAAAGCGGTAAGAGCACCAGCAGCACCAATGTCGTCGCAAGTGACAGTCTCTCCACTGCGGGAAGTTCCAATGACCATACGGCCCAAGCGGTCTCGCATATCAGCAAGATCAGTGCTGAGCGCCAGGATGGCCATACATTCACTGGCAACAGAGATGTCGAAGCCAGTTTCACGAGACTGTCCCTTCTCAGTGGGGGCGGTTCCAACAGTAATGCCTCGGAGGTGGCGATCGTTGACATCCAGCACTCGTCTCCAGGTGATGGTCTCTGGGTCGATGTCGAGGCGGACGAAGCGGCGGATCTCTTCCGGAGTCAGCTCGTCGGGGTTGGTCTTGTCAACGCCAACCTTCTTGAGGCGGCGAAGCATGGTGGCAGAGAACTTTCGCTCGCCATTCTTAGCAGGAACCAAGCGGCGGTAGAGCGGGCCGTCCTTCTGAGTGTTCTCGTGGAACATGCGTGTCTCGATTGCGGCAGCCAACAGGTTGTTTGCGGCAGTGATGGCGTGGATGTCGCCTGTGAGATGCATGTTGAACTCGTCCATAGGGATGACCTGACTGTAGCCACCACCAGCAGCACCACCCTTGATACCGAATGTCGGTCCCTGGCTGGGCTGTCGGACGTTGGCAAAAGTCACACGTCCAACATGAGCGCCGAGCGCCTGGGCCAGACCCATGGTCGTGGTTGACTTTCCTTCACCAAGAGGAGTCGGGGTAATACCAGTGACGACGACATAGCGACCATCACGTCGGTGGGCAAGTCGCTTAAGTAGGCTCAGATCGACCTTGGCCTTGTATGCTCCATAGGGCTCCAGCTCATGGCTTTCAATGCCAATCTCAGTCGCAACGCGGGTAATCTGCTTGGGCGCCTGAGCTCGGGAGATGGCAATATCTGATGGGACAGGGGATTGTAGGTGCAGAGGAAGAGGAACGGTCTGTCTGATCTTTTCCTTCTCGAAGAAGGTGTTTGTGGCCTCGACAACGTTCTCCAACAGCATAGCAACAGTCATGGGTCCAACACCGCCAGGAACTGGGGTGATGACGGAGGCGACCTCGGAGGCGGTCTCGAACTCGACATCACCCACGAGTCGCTGACCAGACTTGCGCGAGGCGTCCGGAATGTAGTTGGTTCCCACATCAATAACCACAGCACCAGGCTTCAGCCACTCACCCTTGACAAAGTTGGGGGAGCCAATGGCAACGATGACAATGTCAGCGTTCTTGAGATGGGCCTGGAGGTTGGCCGTGGCGGAGTGGCAGATGGTAACGGTGGCATTGGCTCGGTTCAGGAGCTGGGCAACGGGACCGCCAACAATATTGCTTCGGCCGAGAACCACAGCGTTCTTGCCAGCAAGTTCAACGCCGGCCTCCTTCAGCAGAGTGATGACACCCTTGGGAGTGCAAGGAGTGAAGATGGGTGCGCCACCACGCTTGGCAAGCTCGCCGATGTTGTTGGTGCCGAAGCCGTCGACATCCTTCTCGTCCGCGACGGCGGATGTGATGACAGGCTCTGAGATGTGCTTGGGAAGAGGCAGCTGAACAAGGATACCGTTGACGGCATCGTCGTTGTTGAGACGGCGGATTTGGTCGAGGAGCTCAATCTCAGCAATATCCTCGGGGAAATGGAGCAGCTTGCAGTCGATATTGGCCTGGAGACGACATCTTGGTCAACGATTGTTTTTTAAAGGAGCCTAGAATTTGTTTCTTGTGCCTTACCTCCTCGGCAGCCTTGAGCTTCATACGCACATACGTAGCTGCATGAATAGTTAGCCGCGGCTCTAAATTGACCCGATAAGGATCATGAGCAAGATAAGGATGGCGGGGGAACCTACAAGAGTCGGAGCGATCACCAACTGGATGAGAGAAAAGAAACAGCCAGTTAGTAATTATTATTGCACAAGAAGAGGTAAGGAGCAAGAGAGCAAGAAGAAAATACGTCTCCAGTCTTGCTGTCTTGCGCGTGCGCAGCCATACCTTGGATGATCCTGAGGCTGGGTCGGTATCTGGGGTTCTTCTGCTGCTTCTCTGCAATTTCTGCGCCAAGGCGTTCGCGAATGGCCTTGGCAATGCTGTTGCCGTCAAGCTTTGTGGCAACCATGGCGGCGGCTGTCGTCGCAAACGATCGCTGCTGCTGGAGTCGCGAGGGCAATCGACCTGTAGATGGCAGAGACGAGGAAGAAGAGGAGGATGAGGAGGAGAAGTAAGGAGCAGAGACTGAATAAGTCGCCGACGAGGATGAAAAATGACGAGCTCCCAAGCTGGAAGGATTAGCGGACAAAAGTCCTTGTGCTGAGCCCGCTGAGGGGCTGAAAGTCGCCGCACTCGGGGCCCTGCTGCCGGCAAGGTACGGCAAGCGGCGGGCAATGGCCGCTGTATTCCCAGCGCTGCTAGCGATACAGCGCTGCGACGTTCTGGAAGACAGCGACAGCAGCCTGTTGGGCGCCATGCGCAGGCGCTGATGGGGCGCCATGTTGCTCTGTAAATCCTAGGTAGGAACTTTGGATCTTGTAAGCCTCAAGCAATTGTGCTGCACGTAAGCCTGTACAACGTCCCAAGCAGGGCTACCGTAGGAGTGCTTGCAGAAATCGATCAGGCAACTGGGCCTTCAAGGTCAGCTTGAGCACCGAAGTCCTATTTTCGGTTGTTTGCTTGTTTGCTGGTTTGTCTTCTTGGGAACTATTTTTCGTCGAATTTTTTTTTTTCCCCTTAGCTTATCTAGGGTCCGGAACACGGAGGTAGATCAGGGCGCTATTTCGTGGTTGGCTCGCTTGATCGTCCGTGACCTTGATAGTGGCGCAAAGTTTTTTAACGACCTGCGCTTTGGTTGAATCGAGTTCGGACAGTGGTGTAGCTGAATATATATAGAGAAGCGAAAAAGTAGGGCAAGTAAAGGACGACGAGATGGCTCAATGCCTGGAACAGAGGGAAAATGGCCTGCTTTTGAGGATTACGCCGACTTGGCAGAGGACACGGGCAGATTTATAGAACGCAATGCATGGTTCACAGAACACCGTGTCGGGACGGTGTCGGATCCTGTAATGTGGAGATTTGATTTTTGGTCCAAGACCGTCGCCGGACAGGGCCCGGGCAGATCTGAACTCAGGCAGTTGCTTGTTCTTCGGATCACATATTTAGACCGGCGGCATGGCGGCATTGCGGCATTGCGACTGCTGCTTTGGACGAGGCTTCCATTTATACGACTATCAACCAGGCATGCCCAGCGTGGGGGTTTTGTTCTTCTTTCCATATTTCACTACCTTCATTAGAAGTACTATAAGTAGGCGGTACGGTACTTTGATATTCTAGTCGGATGTTGACATATGCAAGTTGACAACTGAGGCGGCAATGGCGTCAAATGTATCAGCTCGATCATCAGCGTGTTGACGTGGCAAGAGCGGCAGGGAGAAAGAACATCCCGTTGGAAGCCGTGTGTCAGCACATTTATTCATACCTTAGGTAGGTAGGTAGGTAGACGACTTGATGCAATATGGAAAGAGAGAAAAGAGAGCGGGTCAATGCAAGGGAAACATACCACTATTCCTTCAACATTGATCCGCTAAGGATGCAAGATGCTACTCTAGGGAGGAGCTGAGAAAAGTGTAACATTTATTACTATGTATTACTGTGTATTACTGCGTATTAGTAGTATATATTACTAGAAACAATTAGTCGTGTTGAAATTTTGAACCTATCAAATGTAAGGAGTGCAGAGTCCGCACCACCTTTGTCTACCTGCCAGGCATGCCGGTTAATAATTGCTTTCTTCTTAGAGTCTGGTGTTGAGGAATAATGAACAGCCAAAGCTCAGCCCATCCCCCCATGTAAACTATCAGGAGCGGGTATATGTCGGCATCTCAGTCGTACAAACATACCCGCCCTCCAGGTAAATAAGTTAGTACCATTGATCATGAAGAACTGTCAGATTTTCAAGAGTAGAAGTACTATAGTTAATGCAGTATGGCGCGATGTTTAACTCCTGGTGATGACAGTGACTCAACAGCGTACCTTGAGTGACTCACTATGTGCTTGTTTCAGGAAATGGCGAAACAAGACAGTCATCATCCAAGTACTGTGCTTTGGCTCTATTAGGAAATCGCCGCACGCATACTTCGTACCCCGGATTCAAGGTGTGAAGAAGGCTTTGCCGGAATACCTTGGTATTGCTCCAATGGTCGTTGACAACAACTTGGACAAGCAGGTGAGAATATTCGAGATGGAGCTAAAAGTTCACACATCCCAGCCACTTGCCACGCCCAGACTTCCCCCTTTGGGCTACGCCACCAATGACTCTCCCCGCGCCACAACTCTAGCCCCACCAAGACGCACAATTATCGCCAAAATTTCCAAGCACCACCATCTCCAATCCGACCTCGTGCTGGCCCATATTATATCCCCCCCTTCCCTGATTCTTTCCTCAGCCTTCCAGCATCAGGATCACCGACAAAATGAGACCCATCCTTCTTGCCGGGCACGAACGTGCTCTTACCCAGATCAAGTACGTTTTGCTTGCTGTCTAAGGAGAGGAGGAGAAGCAGAAGCATAGCTCTATTCCGCTGTTTTTTCGCGCCAGCCCCTCCTCACTCTTCCTTTCGACTCTGCCAATAAGAGAGGCCCGAGCTAACTCAAGTTTTTCTTCTGCGCGTCAGATACAACCTCGATGGTGATCTCATCTTCTCCGTCGCAAAGGACCAGCAGATCTGTGTCTGGTTTTCCCACAATGGCGAGCGTCTAGGAACCTACCACGGCCACGTCGGTGCCATCTGGACCGTCGACGTCGACCCTACGTCCACCATGATCGCCTCAGGCTCAGCCGACAACACCATCCGCCTGTGGGAGGTCAAGACCGGCAAGTGCCTCAAGACCTGGGAGTTCCCCACCGCCGTCAAGCGTGTCGAGTTCAACGAGGACGGAACCAAGCTGCTGGGCGTTACCGAGAAGCGTATGGGTTACCTGAGCAACATCGTCGTCATCGACATCAACCCGGACATCAACGCCGAGCAGACCGACGAGCGATCCCTGACCATTGTCTGCGACGAGAGCAAGGCCACCGTTGCTGGCTGGAGCCAGGCCAGCCAGTACATCATCGCCGGCCACGAAGACGGCAGTGTCAGCCAGTACGACGCTAAGACCGGCGAGCTGCTGGATAAGGTCTCTGCCCACGAGCTGGACAAGCCCATCGTCGACCTGCAGTGGTCACCCGACAGGACCTACTTCATCACTGCTTGCCGAGACAAGACTGCCAAGGTACGGCTACCACTTTCTACTCGTAAACTTGTTATGTCTTGCTAACTAAGGATCCTTCCAAACAGCTCATCTCTGCTCGCGACCTCGCCACCCTCAAGACATACCCGGCAGACACCCCTCTCAACAGCGCCACAATTTGCCCCAAGAAAGACTTTGTTATTCTGGGAGGTGGTCAGGCCGCCATGGAGGTCACCACCACCTCTAACCGCCAGGGTCGATTCGAGGCTAGATTCTACCACAAGGTTTTCGAAGACGAGATTGGCCGTGTCCGTGGTCACTTTGGTCCTCTCAACACCGTTGCCGCCGATCCCACCGGCCGTAGCTATGCCAGTGGAGGAGAGGACGGTTACGTCCGTGTCCACCACTTCGACAAGGGCTATTTCGATTTCAACTACGAGGTTGAGAGGGAGCGCATGAACCGATAGGAGTAAAAACGGCCGGACAGACGAAAATTACCTCTTGAAAGAAAGAACAACTTTTTTTCTCAATCCTCCGTTTTTTCCGTTTCATTTTGGCCTAGATGTTAAAACCAAAGAAGAAGGGAAGACTTATAGAGAGGGAAAGGGAGGGAGGGAAATGAAAAATAAGGGAAGACAGAAATGATCAGTCTGTGTTTTGATTATTGCGGACTGCTTGCTTGCTTGCTTGCATGCGTTAAACATATTGTACGGCGTTTTGGGAGGGCGGAAAGGGAAACAAACAAAGTCTTCTTGCTGGAAGGGAGAGAAGTGGGATGCTTGAATTCCCGTATGTAATCCTTACTAGGTGTCTCTTTGTTGCTGTAGAGAGAGAGAGAATAAAGAGGGAAAGAAGAAGAGTAAAAACAAACAAGCTGTCAACGTCAAAAGCGATAAATTTGATACATAGAGATGTGCATATCGCTTAATCCATTGCAATCGTGCGCCTGATACCCTGTTCGAGAAAACGTGATATATGCGTGCCTTCTTTCTATTACGGCTTTTGTTAAGTCAGATGGTTTCTTTGCATTACTACCTACTTACACTTAGCGTAAATATCTTTGTTTTCTCTTGTTTAAGACAGAGAGCAACCCTCCAACCAAGTTCAATTTGATTCGTATTAAGTCTCTCCCAAGTATGAAACGCCGCCTCCGTAATATTTTGGTTATAAAACCTTTCTAAAATTTCGTATCCACGTCCTGTCCTCCTAGAATCTGGTTTGTTCCCTCCAGCCAGCTCATCATCATCTTTCATTCACTTCTCTTTTTAAGTTATTCGTTCCTTTTCGGTTCTCTTTTTAAAAAGAACACAAAGAGAATTTGTTTGCTACTCATTTCTTCTTTCTACCTACCGCCTTAGTCTTCTTGCCCTTTGTAGAACCACCGGCGTTTGAGTTGGCGTTGGAAGCAACACTGGAAGCTCTTGATGGCGAAGCAGAGCTGGCTTTGCTGGACTTTGATTTGACGTTATCAAGAGCCTTATTCTATACAAGACATGTTAGTACTGATCTTCTTTTTCTGCTTGGAGTATGAATAGTTCATCCTACCTTGACGCCATTCTTAGACTTCTTCTTTGCCGGAGCCAAGCTCAGAATGCTATCCTCATCATTTTCGTCATCGAGATCGCGTTTCGATTTGCCGTTGACGCCATTTGAACCTTTGCCGGTTCCAGCGCCCTCCTCAAACTCCTTGACAATAGTTGTAAGCAATGTGTTGCATCGTCGCGACAGTTCGATGGGCGTGCGGCTCAAGAAAAACCAATCAAATCGGAACAAAGGGGACTCGCGAATCTCATCCCGCATCTTTTCGTAGAGACCCTCAGAATCGATTCCGTTGCGGTCAAGAAGAACCAGTAAGAAACGGTCTTCCTCTTCAGTGTAGACCTTTTTGTTGGTCGTAGACACCGAGTAATTGATCTTTAATTGCTGGAGAGGCACACGATACTGCTGCATCTTCTTGCGAAGAAGCTTGCCCTGGTGGTCGATGCGCCTCGTTCGCTCCTCTCCATCCTCAATTACTTTGAGGTATTTAGGGTAGTCATGAATTTCAGTGTACCGCTGCCAAAACACCTTGGCATAGGCACGAATTTCCGCTGGCGTCTTGCTGTCAATCTCGTTGGAAATGCCCTGGAAATCATTTCGTCCGTATTTGCCAGATCCATTCACAAACTGTTGAAAATCTCGGCGGTTCCAGTGACCAAATCCCTGGTTGGAGAGCTCCTCCTTCTCCGCTCGCTCTTCTTCCGTGAGAGGTGTCGCATTATCAATCTCTTGCTGCTCGAGTGCTCTCTCAGCTTCGCGCTCAGATAAGTTATCATCCTCCCCGTCTGGTAATGGCACCTTGTAGCCAATCTCCTTGCGGTAAAAGGCCGTTTCTCTATCCTGAAGGTCCTGCAAGCGAGGCGGATAGAATTGATAGTCATGGACCGGTACTTGCTTGGGCGCTCGGGGAGCTTTGGGCTTGGCGTCGGCCTTGGGATTGGGATACATGGCCTGTCTAAAGTATTTGTCCATAGAGTAGCTCTGCTCTCTGCGTTCTCGCTTGGATGGATTGATCCAGTTCATGCCGATGTTCTTCTTGGCCTGGGCGAAATTTTCTCCATTCCACTCGTAAGCAGATTCGGATGTGAATTTCTGAAGATCCTCAATGCCAAGCTTCTCATACCGAGCATTAAGCTCTTTGGTACGTGACTCGCCTCGATTCAAGATCTCATCGATATCTTCATCGTTCAACTCCTTCTCTTTGTCTGCCGTTTCATCAGTGGGGCCCTTGGACCGGAACACCTTCTCGGCACCATGCTGAATCATATTCAAGAGCTCATCCTTGTTTGCAGCGGCCTTGGCTGCAACCTGAGCACGGCCCTGTTGAATGACTACCTGGTCAAGTCGCAATTTCTGGGCTGCACGTTCGAGCACCTTCTCTTCGATAGCATTGTCAGTGACGAATCTGTACACTACAACTTGTTTCGTCTGTCCAATACGATGCGCGCGATCCATGGCCTGCAGATCTGCCTGCGGATTCCAATCGCTGTCGTAGAGAATGACTATGTCCGCCGTAGTCAGGTTGATGCCCAAACCACCAGCCCTCGTTGTCAGCAAAAAGACAAATTTTTCTGATCCAGGTTTGTTATAGTCATCGATGGCAGCAATTCGGTCCTCGTGAGCGGTTCCACCATCAATACGGCAATACTTGTACTGCCTGAAGACGCAATAATCTTCCAAGATATCAAGCAATCGACTCATTTGGGAAAAGATCAGAACTCTGCTGCCCTGCTTCTGAAGTCGTCCTAGCAGCTTGTCCAAGACCTTCATCTTGCCTGCATTGTAAATCAAATGTTCATCAGTTGTGTAAGGGGGACCTGGCTCAGCGCCCTCAAAGAGGTAGGGGTGGTTACAGCACTTTCGCAGCTGCATCACAATGTTCAAAAGCCTGGTCTTGGACTCTCTCTTTCCTCCAGCACCATTGACAGCATCAATATCCTTTTCCAAAATCTTTTGATACCATTTGACTTGCATCTCAGACATGCCCAAGTATACATTGACTTCCTTCTTTGGCAAGAGACTCTTTTCGACATCACTCTTGACACGTCGGAGCAGGAACGGACGCAAGACGCGATGTAACTGCTGCACGACCTTGTCCTGGTCTTGGTCTTGGCCTGAGAACCATTGATCAAATGCATCGGCATCGCCAAAGACATCGGGAAGAAGAAAGTTGAGCAGAGCCCAGAGCTCGTGCAGGTTGTTTTGCAGAGGTGTACCAGTAATGAGAAGTCTGTTGCGGGAGTTGAACAGTCGGATGACCTGCGATAGAGATGATTCTTCGTTTTTAATGCGATGCGCCTCATCAATGATGATATACTCCCAAGCAAATTTCTTGAGATGCGACTTTTCCCTCAACACCATCTCGTAACTAGTAATGCAGACGTCAAATTTCTCGTCGACGAGGCGTTCGTTGATGAGCTCGTGACGCTCATCCTTGGCACCCTGCAGCACAAGCACATTGACTTCTGGGGTCCACCTTGCAAATTCGCGCTTCCAGTTGTCAAGCGTTGACTTGGGTACTGTCACAAGATGTGGTCCAGTAATGCCCATGATGTGGCGGAGATAACCCAGAAAGGAAATGGTCTGTAGTGTTTTTCCCAAGCCCATCTCGTCAGCCAAGATGCCCGAAATACCGTTCTCATGCAGTGAGATTAGCCAATTCAGACCAGCAACCTGGTAATCTCTCATAAGTCCCTGTACAAAGGAAGGTGACTCTCTGAACACAGTATCAGCAGATCCGCCATGTTTCTCGTCGCTCAGGAGCTCGGCATCTTCCTCGGCTTCAGTTCGTCGCCGTCTCTCGCTTGTAGCACCTCCTTTTCTGCCAGCGCCTTTCTTGGCTCGAGCAGCTTCGGCGTTCTGATGGTCAATCTCGGTCATGATTTCTCGGATCTTGGGGTCGGGATTTGTCTCGATGAAGTGCCGGAACAAGTCGGTAAGACCGAGAAGGTACCGAAATCTTCGAATTGTGTCATCTTCCTGATCAGACGCAGAAAGGTTAATATAGATTGTTGTTTCCAATGGTATCGCCTTCTAAATGGCTATCAGAGGGAGGGGCATACCTTTGATTCACCAAGGCGATCATGTTTCTTTCCAAAAATGCTTCGACGCAATTGATTCGCCTCGGTGCGTCGCTTCCTTCCGTCTGTGAGGGGTTCGCCGGCCACGCTGCTAGCTGTAGTATTCGGGTTGGTATCGGAGTCGGTATAGTCGGGAGTCTCATCGACCTCCTGCGATTAGTTAGTCACAACATCGAACAAAATGTCAGGCTTGCCATGTAAATAGATGAACCAACCATTTCTTCAACTCTAGGGTGCTCTGGAGCGTCAGACATGGACGCGTCGGTGTCTACGCCGTTTGATCGAGGTCGCGGAGCCATTGCGACTAAAATCTTGGAGGGGAGCCTCTTAACGCGACTTGCGTGCACGAAACGCGCTGTAGATGCGCCCGTAACCAGGAGTCCAGGGAGCCCAGAGAGTTTCTAAGCACTTAGTAGATGGCTCTGGCCTCTTGAGATGTCTCGGGTGGTGCCTTGAAGCCGCGGATCCAACTCGCTTCTGCTGGTGGTAAAGAGAGGATGTTTTTTGGCAATGCGCCTGGTAAGAGTCTCGACGTGCTCATGAAAGGCTGTCGACTTTAGGCCTAGCGCGTGTGCAGGTCCCACCCTCGTCTCTCCACGCTAGAGAGCAAAATCGATACGGCCGTGCCCACTTATCCTACAATGGAAGAAGAAAAGTCCGAGTCCAGAAGGGGGAAAGAGAACGACGTCACGGGTCAGGGGCTTTTCCCGCCCGCTGCAGATGCAGACAGCTGCCGCAGCAAACCTTACAGGGTGTGCTACAGCTGCATCCAGGGCCTGTACTTTGTACTTCTGATTATACGAAGCAATGTGGTGCAACCATGGAATTGCCTCAGCCAGAGGCCTGCAAGGAGCTACCCTTACCTCTGCGCGCGCTCCTTGCTGACCACAGCCATAGCACAGAGTTTTCTAATTAAAATGCCGTAAAATCAAATTGCTGCGCGCTCCTAACTCAACGTGTCCCTCTCGCACCTTTTCCTAGATGCCAAAAGCCCATAGCTTAAGGTACGGAGCCTAAAATCACGTGTAAAATACCCAGCGCCGCCCCACGTACAGTTCTACCGCCTTCGCCCGCCTTTCTAACCTGCTGACCTAGAAGTTTGCCGCTACGGAACATACTGCCAGGACTTTCCCCTCCATCGCTGTGATTCCAATTTGAGGTGCATCTCAAGAGCTTTCTCCCATCACCTACAGAGCCTTGCATCCTAATAGCTCGAAGCCTCTTTCGCCAGAGGCCGACGACGTTGTCTCTGCCGTGCGACCCCTAAACCAGTCAGTGGCGGATTCTCCCTCCCTGAGGCTGATCCTCTCCATCGCCCCAAGGTAGGAACACAAAGCTCCTAGTTTGCTGTTACGCTAACCTAACGAAAAACTTAGACCATAGCACATACACACGCGCACTCACCTTGCTATTGCCCAAGTGCACATATCTCTTACGAAGATGGACTCGTCGAAGACCTACAGCGGCCCGGGAAAGCAGGCGATGCAATATGAGTCACCCGAACCGCTGCTGGACGTGTTCAAGGCCGCGGCGCTGTCCGTGACCCAGCTTTACAAGACATCTGCCAAAGCAGAGGCGCGCGCTCGCGTAGACGGATACCAAGACTGTTTGGACGACCTCCTCCTCTTCCTCGATAAGCAAAGCATTGGCCTGGACGATGGCGAGGGCTGGAGGATTAGAAGATGGGCCACAGAGCGGCTTGATGGGCGAGAGGCAGGACATCAGAGCACTGAGAGCGAAGATGAGACCGACAAGGGCGAGAGAACCACGTCGCCCGAGGCTTCTCGGGCTAGTGCCGAACCATCAGCGTCTACGCCGGCTCCGATCCAATCTCGAACACATTCACCTGCCGCTGCCGTCCCTGCGCCTCCTCCTACGAACGAAGAACCAACCCATTTTGTTATACCAACACAAGAGGCCTTCACCTTCCACTCAAACTATCCCAACATTGCCACCCTGGACCTATCAGACCCACGACCACAGGACGTATCTTCTTTCCCGCCTTCATTCAGTTCTAAGTTCGGATCAAGCTCTTCTAGGAACGGCCCTCGATCTTCATCACATCATAGCCGGGGAGTGGGAGCGAAGCGTAAGATGGACTTTGACGACTTTTTCGGCGGCTGTTTGGACAGCAAAGACTCAGCCGGCAACGGAAGCAAACGCAGTCGACACACATGACCGATAATATCTTGTTTTGTTTTATATCGTATCATTTTCTACCGGCGATCACCATGTCAATCAGGTACAATATTTCATATACATCGGATGGGAACACAGGGCAACTGCGGGACATGGGAGGGAGGTAGCATAGATACCAAAGGCGTTCTTCTATTTTCTTTCTTTTCTTTTCTTTTCTTTTCTACCTGTTTATTTATTTTGGAATGGCTGAATCCACATTGATGGTGTAAAGAGTTGAAGGGTTCTCATCATACATATCTGGAGTTTGTCTCGAATAGAAGGAATGGATGGGAGGAATCTAGGTACTAATACCATAATCAGAGCTTGTCTGTCAGCTCTGCAATGTCTAGGCACACGGGTTTTGCATTAGGGGGTCGTTAACAGTGCACATATTGAACGCAACAGTTGTACATAAATAACATAAATTTTTTTCCTGTATTGATTTTACTCGTTTATCGAATGATTGGAGGACTCGGTGCCCAACTGGGACCGTAGTCTACTGTTTTCAGCTTCGAGATCCTCTAGCTGCTGTTCCAGAATCTCCATCCTCTCTGTAGCACCGAGTACCACCTCTTCGGAGATCTTTGCCAGCCTCCATAGACGAAGAACAACAATCAAAGAGCCAATAGATTCGGTTAGACCTCTGGAAAATATATCTATCACGAAACTGGCAACAATGACTGCCGAATCAAATAGATGAAACCAAGAGGCAAGGAAGCTTTATTACGCGCCAAGCGAGTTAGAAAAGAAAGAAAGGTTCAAAGCAGCGCCAAAACAAAAACAAAAAAAAATCCAAAACCTACCGTGGACCAAAAGCAAACAAACATGCAACGAGCTCAAGGAGGAAGAGGCTGCTGAAGACTAGGCCTGCAATTTCCAGACCTTCAGTTATATCTTCCACCCAGGGCTCATCCTTTTCGTCCATCTCGCAGGCAATCAGCTGGATAAAGATGTTTGCGAGCAGCGCAGCTACATCCAGGGCCACGGTACCCATGACGAGGAAGTGCTTTGTGCGCGATTCCAGGAAGCGCTGACTTGTCCGGCGGCATCGTCGCAAATGTCTGGAGAAGGATGATTCCTGTGAGCGCCTATGCCATGCGGGCGCTTCATCGCTGTCGTCGCCATGGTAAGATTGGAGCAGCGGGGTGGACGAGCGGTCTGCCATATCTAGAGGTTTATAAAGCGACAGGAGGAGCAAAGCCGATGATCGATGGTCAGTAGTGAGTATCACGTACAGCGCATGTCTGCATTTCCACAAAGAAAAGACTCAGGGTGGCTATATAAAGTCGCAAATGGGAGGGAGCACACAAGTGAAGCGCTAAGACGTCAGCTGGTATTTTGTACTAATATCGAAAGGAACGCATTTGCGCATTAATGCCAAAGCGTTGAGAGGGGCGCTTGTCGGCTACTAGAGATCCCAGCTGAGACGCTCATCACCAGCAACATCAAATGCCGATTTCCGTCCTCATGAAGCCTGAAGCTGCTGGAGGAGGGGCAGCTTCAAGGCCCCCCCGACAGACTTAGCCGTACTAGCGACATGCAGCCAGTGGCTGCGAAGCACTACAGTGAGCTAATGCCTGTACGGTAGCATTCATGTAGGTCGCTCTCCGCAATAGCACATGCGCCTCGCTAGGGCAGTGACTTGGCCTTGGTGGACCGCGAACAGCAGCCTTGCGGGCGGGCAAACTTCGGTTCTGCGTCGCGGCCTCTCGAGGCTCAAGTGACGATTGTCCATCACGAATTTCTTTTTTGCTTGCTTTTTGCTCTTGAAGATTCATCCCTTCGTTTTCCATTGCAGACATATCTTGCTGTCGCGTCCGATATCGCTGCAACCATTCAATCCAGGTCAGTAGCTTTTGGCTTTCCAATTACTAGTAGCTTGTCCAGCGTGAAACCTGAGGCGGTCGCGCTTCAGGCTCAGTTCAAACCGTTATTCCCCAATTTGCGCAAGGGGGCGCATCCGAGCTTTTTTTTTCTCCTACCATATCCGCTCCATTTGGCCTTTGTTCTGTTGCTGTCACAAGGAACCTCGTCCTTTAAATTGCGACTTGCGCTGATTCTAATCCTTTCCCGCTTCAGTTTTATCCCAGCAGAGACTCTGTCGATTCATTCGGTCAAGCACAATGTCGGACGCAGACAAGCCAGAAGACATCCCTCAGGAGGAGCGCGAGCCGGAAACCGAGATTACGGCCAGTGAAGAGGTGGGTTTAGCATTACGCGCGCTTGAGATGAGAGCTTTTACATGATGGATCTGACACGCCGCCCGCTAGGAGGAGATCCAAGCGATGAAGCGCCGAGTTGCAGAAATGGAAGAGGAGGCTAAGAAACTGCGTGAGATGCAGGCCACACTGGAGCAGCAGTCTGCTGATCTCGCCGATGACAAAGAATCCGTCGACGCTCGAAGCATTTTCGTGGGCAACGTCGATTACTCGGCCTCTCCAGAGGAAGTCCAGGCGCATTTCCAGAGCTGCGGCTCCATCAATCGAGTTACCATTCTCCTGGACAAGTTTACCGGACAGCCCAAAGGGTAAGCATACATCAAACATGCTCTTCTGGGCCTTTTGCTCTCAGATTGGGAATATCCGGAGCTAATGATGTGCCTTTTCACCGTTCTTCTAGCTACGCCTATGTCGAGTTTACCGAGCCTAGCTTGGTTGCCCAGGCCCTCGTCCTGAATGAGAGTGTCTTCAAGGGACGCAACATCAAGGTCACGCCCAAGCGCACCAACATTCCCGGCATGAGCCGCGGCCGTGGAAGAGGAGGTTTCCGCGGGGGGCGCGGAGGTTTTGGGCGCGGAGGATTCCCTCCTCGGGGCGGTTACCGTGGCGGTTACCGGGGCCGTGGACGAGGTTACGCCCCTTACTAGAACCAAGGAAGTGTTTCTCCAAACACGCGATCCGCCCAGAGCAACGGATTGGGTGGTCTCTTTTCTCTTGGTCTCGACACTGAGGAGGAAAAGTTTATCATTTCTCGCGATTAAGACGGAAATATTTTTCTTCCATTTTCTGTTACTTATCGAATTCTTTTTCTTTTTCTTTCTTTCTTTTCTTTTTTTTCTTTTTGGAGAGTTCAGGTGGATTTTTTCCACTGGTTCTTTTTTTAACTGCGCGATTGACGAAAGATATCCGGCAATTCGGTTGGTATAATTGAGGAGAAGGGCAGAGTGGCATAACAGGAGCTATGGTGAAAGATCGGAACACAAAAAAAAATATACGGAAGACAAAGACATTAGTGTTTGCTATACTATGATGGAAATTTTACTATCTATGGCCTAGCTAGCTAGGATTAAGTCAAGAAAGACGGGATCAGGTATGGGACGATGAAATTGCGTGTATAACACCGACGTTTCAGACGGGAAAGGATCTGGAGTTTTAGGCCTTGATATTAACGCCAGATGGTAAATCAGGTGTTAGATGAGAAAGTATAATTGATTTTCTTTCCTTGTTACTCTTAGAATGATTCAAGCATGGCTGTGAAGCGGGCACCAATTTGTATTTGTAAGAATTATAACATGTGTGTTTCAATCCTAACAGATAAAGATACCGTACGAGAATCTTCTTACAAATACAATGACAAAATGCCTAGGCCAAGCTGCTCCACGCCCTATTATCGACAACATCCGGCATCGCCTTCACGCCTAGATTTTGCATCATAGAGAGGTTGATCAATAAAGTAGCATCGCAGATCCTGCGCGTCAGATTTGGAGCTGCGCTCCCGAGTGGCGTTTTTACGATACGGGTCTACTGAAGCAGCTCTATGGGATTTCATGCATGGTGTCAAATGGCTTCTTCCTTCCCTTCTGGAACAGCCGCTTTTTTCCTCATTCTATTCATATATATGATAGAGATACGCAGTCAAAACTTTGTGAGACTAGATGTCGACCCCTGCTACTTATACCGCTACGTGAGGGTTTGGAGTGTCCGATCCGACGTAGGATTAGACGACGATGGTCACCAGCACCCCCGTTCCCGAAAAAGATATTCCATTAATAGCAACATCTTGGCGCTAAGAAAAAATCATGGTGGTAAACAAGAGCCGTACTGATGATGTTAACTAGTATATGAAATAGAGGGCAATAGCACAAAGCAACTGATAATATGGCGCAGAGCTGTCTCGTTAAAGCACTCTATGGATCCAAGTTTGCGTCCGGGGAGTGAACTATTGGTAATCATGTCAAATACCATCCTCTTTTCTATTCCCTTCCTTCATTCTTTGTTGATAATGATGACAGACGAGACGAGTGAAATGATTTGACAGGTATTAGTCAATCGTCACGGCGTCTATTACGCTAGCAGATGGAGCACCTCGAGAGGTCGAGAGTAATGTAGCTTGGTAGTTAGCAGGAACCTCGGGTAAACGCTATGGAGGCTGTGCCGGCGCGATGAATTGCATGTCGTGCTTCCACACGCAAGCATGCCAATAAAGTCGGGCGCCCTAGAGTTGGCGCGTTATGCACGTACTACCTGTAGGGCGTGTTTGCCACGGGCTTTTGCTTGTCGGCGCGAATGACTATCGTAGGCATACGCTCTCCACGCTCGCTTGATCCTTTTACTATTGATCTAGGCACAACTTTGAGTAGTAGGTAGTGGCTAATGCCACACTGTACGTCAAGCACCGGCCAGTGGAATCGAGCAGATGCTGCGGAGCAACCTAGTTCGTAGCGGCAAGCTTTTGACGGCTTCTGTTTGCCGGATTCCGCCGTCCTGAGGCGCGAGAGAAAATAAATTGCAAGTAAAAGCGCGCTCTGGGTAAGGTACCCAAAGGTCTGCGCTCTCTATTTTATCCCTGCTTCCGGGAATGCAAAAACAGCCTCAAATCAGGAGAAAAAGAAGCCACACTTGTTGCTTTACACTGCAAGTGTATGGATTTACATCTACTAGGTAAGATAAAAAGCACATACCGCTTTTCCTCCACATCCCGGAGTACATCGACTCCTTCCATAGAAGCCACGGGGCCCTCTTCCTTCTAAAAGGAACCGCCCTAGCGACAGCCCAAGGGCCCTAAAGGAGGCCGCCTAGCAGCTGCTTCGTCCCTCCCCCCCACTCCCATCGCCAGCAAACGGCCATCAGCCAGCGCCCCGTAGCCGCCTGAGCTGTGCGCAGAGGGGGATTCCACTTGTCAGCCCGCCTTTGCAAACCCGCCTGGATTCCATCTCCTCCATCATCGTCACAGCCCAGTGCCGTCCATTGCCCATCCGCTATTTTTTCTGCGCTGCCGTGAGATTCCACGCTGCTCACGCCTCCTGCTCCGTCTCGCAGCCGTCGCCGTCGGCCTGAGCGCAGGCCTTGTCACGTGCCCTCATCCCGCCACCCAGCCATAGAGCGGGGAGTCTGGCCTGCACAGCCCCAACTTTGCTCAGTCCGCAGCATATCGTCGCTTGGCGTCACTTACAGCGCCGACTTCCTCCTTAAACGTCCGCCCCTGGACGCCATCTCGAAGAAAAAGGGCTTGCGCTGGTGTCGAATTTGTTGACAGTTGTGCATTTGAGGAAGCCTTGTGTTGCCGTGCCTGGAGCGCTGCATATACACAACCCATCTCGTCAAGATGGCGAACCGAAACAACGATGCTGGGTAAGATTCACGCTCGTACCATTTTTTTCCCCTCCGGCCTCTCTGGCAATAGGCCGCTCGGTCATTTATCACAGAATTCTCGTCTAACATATGTCTTGCAGTCGACCCAATCTCCGTATAACAAGTGCGATTCCCGTGCAAGCCACTCCTGTCCAAGAAGGTTTTTGGGTTATTAACATTTGTCGTCATAGTCATCGCCGCAGATGGCTTGTATAAGCGAGATGTCTTCCGTATGTATCTCTCTCCTTCTGCTAGTCTGCTCCCTTGCGTCATGTCTCCATGTCTGCCAATTTCCAGCTAAACGATGACAACCCTAGGCTTCCCCGACCCCTTTGCCGTCGCGACCATCAACGGAGAGCAGACCAAGACGACGACGGTGAGCAAGAAGACGCTCAATCCGTATTGGAACGAGAGTTTTGATTTGTACGGCCATTCCTTTGAACCGTAATGAGGATGTTTATATGCTAAATGTTGGATTCTGCAGCCGGGTTGATGAGGGCAGCATCCTCGCCGTCCAGGTGTTTGACCAGAAGAAGTTCAAGAAGAAGGACCAGGGTTTCCTTGGCGTTATCAATATCCGAATCGGCGACCTGATTCCTGAAGTCGGACCCGAGGCCGACGGTATGTCTCAGGCCGCGCCCTGCCCCCTTTCTTTCCTTGCCCGACTACTAGTAGCTCGCTAACGCTTAGCACTTGCCAGATCAAATGATTACTAGGGATCTCAAGAAATCGACTGATAACCTCGTTGTGCACGGCAAGCTCATCCTCAACCTGTCTTGCAATCTCAGCACTCCCATTCGCGCCGGCCAAGCATCATCATCGAACCGACCCACACTCGGAGCACCCAGTGGCTCCAACCTGTCGACGCTATCTGCTCCGGCTGGTGAACGACCAAGTTCGGCCATGTCTGGCCCCAACGGCAACGCGCTCAGCTCCCAACCAAACCTCGCCGGCCATCCAGCCAGCGTCAGTGCCGCGCCTGCCTCTGCGAGTGTCAATGGCTCTACGCGCCCCAACAGCCAACTGAGCCCGTTCGAAGACGCTCAAGGCCGCTTGCCCGCAGGCTGGGAACGCAGAGAAGATAACCTGGGCCGCACCTATTATGTAGACCACAACACCCGGACCACCAGCTGGAACCGACCGACAGCCAATGGGACCGCCGCCGAAGTCCGCAACGAACGAGAGGCTGTTACCCAAGTCGAGCGCCAGAGACACCAAAACCGAACTTTGCCCGAAGATAGAACTGGTACCAGCTCGCCAACCCTTCAGCAACAGCAAGCAGGCTCTGGTTCTGGTAGCCCCGTCGGCGGCGCTGCGAACAATGCTGCTCCCAACGGCAGCCACACGGCCATGATGCACACCGGCGCCACTAGCCCTGGCTCCGGTGAGCTCCCTCCGGGTTGGGAACAACGCTGGACTCCTGAAGGACGACCATACTTTGTCGATCACAACACTCGCACCACGACCTGGGTCGATCCTCGCCGACAGCAATTCATCCGTATGTATGGCCAGAACAACACTAACGGCCAGATCCAGCAACAACCCGTTTCTCAGCTTGGCCCCTTGCCGAGCGGCTGGGAGATGCGTCTCACAAACACCGCCCGAGTCTACTTTGTGGACCACAACACCAAGACGACCACCTGGGATGACCCGCGTCTTCCCTCGTCTCTGGATCAGAATGTGCCCCAGTACAAGCGAGACTTCAGACGGAAGCTTATTTACTTCCGCTCTCAGCCTGCTATGCGTATTCTTAGCGGACAATGCCATATCAAGGTCCGACGATCGCACATTTTCGAAGACTCCTTTGCCGAGATTACTCGCCAGTCTGCTACAGACCTAAAGAAGCGTCTCATGATCAAATTCGATGGAGAAGACGGTCTTGATTACGGTGGTCTGTCCCGAGAATTCTTCTTCCTCCTTTCACACGAAATGTTCAACCCTTTCTACTGTTTATTCGAGTACTCAGCGCATGATAATTATACCCTTCAAATTAACCCCCACTCTGGTATCAACCCAGAGCATCTCAACTATTTCAAATTCATTGGCCGTGTGGTCGGTATGGCCATCTTCCACCGTCGGTTTTTGGATGCCTTCTTCATTGGGGCTCTCTACAAGATGGTCTTGGGCAAGGGAGTCACGTTGGCAGACATGGAAGGAGTCGACGCCGATTTCCACCGATCATTGCAGTGGATGCTAGATAATGATATTTCAGGAGGAATCCTGGAACAAACATTCTCCACGGAAGATGAGCGCTTCGGTGTATTGACCACCGAAGATCTGATTCCCGGCGGCCGTGATATTGAAGTGACGAATGAGAACAAGAAGGAGTATGTGGACCTCATGGTTAAATGGCGTATCGAGAAGCGTATTGCCGAGCAGTTCCAGGCGTTCAAGGAGGGTTTCCAAGAGCTGATTCCCCACGATCTCATCAATGTATTTGATGAGCGTGAGCTGGAGTTGCTCATTGGCGGTATTGCGGAGATTGACGTTGATGATTGGAAGAAGCACACCGACTACCGAGGCTACACTGAATCGGACGAAGTTATCCAGAACTTCTGGGCAACAGTGCGATCCTGGGACGGCGAGCAGAAGTCGCGTTTGTTGCAGTTCACCACTGGTACTTCCAGAATCCCCGTCAACGGATTCAAGGATCTTCAGGGCAGCGATGGTCCCAGAAGATTCACAATCGAAAAGGCCGGCGACTTGAATAACCTACCCAAGGCACACACTTGGTAAGTTCTGACTCTTTGTTGGCAATGAAAATAATGGAAGAAAAAGAGAGCTAATCACAAGTATAGCTTCAACCGTATTGATTTACCCCCATATAAAACATTGGAAACGCTACAGCAGAAACTCACAATTGCCGTTGAGGAGACTATGGGCTTTGGCCAAGAATAGACGGCGGGTTGGTATAGGATGTGCTCGCATCACACAGCTTTCTACGATGTTTTCGTAGCCTTTGCTTTCCAACAGGAAAAAATCCCTTCATGTCTCCTCATTGATAGTTATTTTGGTTTTGGTTTCCTCATTGGGTATATATGCTTTGGTTGAAGAGTCAGCAGACAGACATGGTAGGCTTTGGTTTGGCGCTGGCGGATTTTATTGTTATCGGGCAAGATGTGACGCGTTGAGATAGAATGGCTTGCAGTGCCGCCTTGGGCATCAACAGACAAGAAGCATAAGGGGATGGCAAGAGGAGTTGCTTTACGATGTCAAATGTGAAAAAGAGGCGGTTTATGGAACGAGAATACATGCATGACCATGAGAAACGGGTTGTACAAAGTGGTACTCTGCTGGCTGGGTTGGCCGACAGAAGGGTTATCCAGTTTCTGGCATTCCATTCGAATTCTTCGATGACCAAATGCATTCATTAGCTGGCGGTGTTGCGTTTACGAATGCTGGAGAGCGCAAAGATGAAGTTAATAGCAGAAGGGTATTGCAAGATATAGTAAAGCAGGCATGGAATGGAATTTTGACTTTTTTACTCTCTCATTTCCTCGTTGGAAGAAAATAGTTTGGCTTTTTGTTTCATTGTTGTAATAAAGTAAAATTGATAACTGATCAAACCGCTTTTCTACTACATATGTATAAGTATATCTTTTCCAGTTCACATGAGACAACCAGTCTACTTTCTTCAACCAGCTCTTAGTATTGGTACAGTATTTCTTTGGGCAGATACTCTACACTACACCTCTAACCCCGTGGCAGCCCAGGGTGTATATACACATATTTGAGAAAACATAGTAAAAAAAATTAAAATACTGAGCCAATGTATGGTACTGCTTCTTCTTGCGTCTTGAGTTTTGACTCTGAAATTTTTGCCTGGACAATTCCGTCGTTTCCCATGTTCGAATATCCATGCCCCCTTTTGGATAAGTGATTTCATCTCCATACTTTTCAGTATCCTCCGTGTCCGTTCAAAATCACTTAATGCCAATTGCCTCCCCCATTCTTTTTCTTTCCCCATCTTGCCTTCCATGTATTTCACTTTCATTCTCCTCCACCCTCACTCTCTCCAAAAAAATTTACCGCCTGTACCACATTCGGCTAATCTTGGTGTTGCGCATCTTCCTCTGCAGCTGGAAGATTCCGTACATGAGGGCCTCGCTGGTGGGCGGGCATCCGGGGACGTAGATGTCGACGGGGACGATACGGTCGCAGCCGCGGACGACGCTGTAGCTGTAGTGGTAATAGCCGCCGCCGTTGGCGCAGCTGCCCATGGAGATGACCCATCGGGGGTCGGGCATCTGATCGTAGACCTGGCGCAGGGCCGGGGCCATCTTGTTGGTGAGGGTGCCGGCCACAATCATGACGTCGGACTGACGGGGGGAGGCACGGAAAATGATTCCGAGACGATCTTGATCGTATCGCGGGGTGGAGAGGTGCATCATTTCGACGGCACAGCAGGCGAGACCGAAGGTCATGGGCCAGAGGGATGATTGACGGGCCCAGTTGGCGATGATGTCGAGGGAGGTGCTGTTAAAGATTCATTGTTAGATTTGTGAACTAGCAATTTTCTTTCTTTCTTAATCGATCGTCTAATTCGAGGTCGAATGGGTGTTCAAGGTTTACGTACAGCGCGTATTGGATGACGCCCTTGGTGCCCTCTTCGCTGGGGAGGGGAACTTCCTTGCGAATCTTGCCGAAGCTGGGCGAGTGGGGGGTCAACGAGGTGGCATCCTTTTGGGATGTTGTTGTGAAGGCGGCGGCGGCTCGGAAGGGCATCAGCGCAGAGGCAGGTTTGACTATAGAGTAATTGAAATTGGAGTTAGCTATTCTGCATCCCGAATGGCTGGGTGTCGTCGTCGTCTTCGCCTTTGAAAATTTAACGCACCTCGGAGGGCCATTGAGGCCGCAGATCGCGTGGCCGGAAGCATGATTGCTGTATGTGAAGGAGAAAAAACAGAGACTCAGAGGTAGATAAAATATACACCTCAATGAATGAGTTCTGGGAGGAGGAAGGATCGGAGTGCCGCGGCTTAGGAGGGCTGGGCGAGGCTGGAGGTTTGGAGTTTGGGGATACCTGGAGGTTAGACTGATTGATTCGCCTCTTCTGCCCCGTGATGTCGGAAATGGGAGGGCGGTGATTGGCTGGGCTGGAAGGTGAGGAGCGAGGATTAGCCGGGGAGAGGTTGCCCCGCTGCCGGTAGGCTGTGGCGAGCTGATGCACCTACTATGGGCGGTTCTACTGCTACCCTGGAGCATAGGCAAATGGGTGATTTGACCAATAATTTACGAGGAGATATACGACAGGATGAAGAATAGTGATCTTGGTCAAATTAGTTTTGATTGAGTATGAAGCTTTTGTGAGAAAATCTGTGAGAGTATCAAAGGCGTGCTGAAGTAATTGGGCTCTTTGATTCACGCTGGTCTTGACGTTGCCACTTATATGGATGACATCAAGACACAATTCTTATTGCAAGGCCATCGGGCAGGAATCATATAATAGTTGCTGATACAATGGTTTCAATTGACTCAATATTATGAAACGATAACCAGCTCGACATCACTGTAAAGCAGGACTCTGGATCTATGACAGGTCTCTGATCTAGAAAGAGGTGGTATTGGCTGATTCTCATCGCGAAGCTCATTGGAGCGATCAGATATCAATTACATTTGTGATTAGCCCAAGGGGGATAGAAAATCAGGGTTTACAAACAGAGCCAGACTACTTTGCCCTTTTTGAACTATAGCCTTATCTACTAGGTAGATGTTCCATCAATTCTGTAGATAAAAGCATGCCATCTGCAATAGATACGGGATAATGGGAGAGCAAATGCTACGTCCGGCCGGCCCTAGTATCGTTCCAATCCTAAGCCCGAACGCCGACTCCTAAACAGATTGGGCGGAAATAGTTTTCAGCTTTCCCATAGACTTTTGGATCCTTCACATATTTCGTTTCCCCCGCTGGTGAAGTCATACTGACTTCACAGCAGCGCACTAGTTTGTTTGCCCTATCATTAATAGCAATTGTCCCGATTGAGATGGGTCGATCGCCATGAGCTGAAAACAGGTATAGCTGGTATGAAGAAACATTGCTCTTAATTAGGGGGGACTTCGCTTTCATCTAGAAGTATATAATGTTCAATAGCTTCCTCTAATTATAAGATATTCAATTGGTGATAGCACCAAGCTTGTTCGTCTTTCAAAACCATTCCAAAGTTCCCCCATTTTACACAAGACCTCAATAGAGCTGCTGAAACTGTGTAATTACTATACACCTGTCAGCACTTTCAATCCAAACGTCAAAACAAATAAAGGTATTACACAAGTGATACTAAACCAATCGCTCCCTCGCAAAATGACACCCTCCCTCCCCGAAACCTACAAAGCTGTCGTCCTCACGGCGGCTAACTCCGCCTTCACCATCAAAGACGTGCCCCTGAAGCACCCTTCTGCCAACCAGGTCCTCGTCAAGGTCCTCGCCTGCGGCGTCTGCTGGTCTGACGTGGAGGTCGGCCAGGGCCACTTTGGCGACGTCTTCCCGCGCACGCCGGGCCATGAAATCGTCGGCGACATTGTCGAGCTCGGCGCCGACGTCAAGAACCTCTCCGTGGGCCAGCGCGTGGGCGGGCCGTGGCACGGCGGGCACGACGGCGTGTGCAGGGAGTGCCAGCGCGGCGAGTTCCAGTACTGCAAGGACGAGGCCATCAACGGCGTCTCGCGCGACGGCGGCTATGCCGAGTACGTGCTGCTGCGCGCCGAGGCCGTCGTGCGCATCCCCAAGGAGATGGAGCCCGCGCAGGCGGCGCCTCTGCTGTGCGCGGGCGTCACCGTCTTCAACGGCATCCGCAAGCAGCGAGTCGAGCAGGGCCGCCTCGTCGCCGTCCAGGGGCTCGGCGGCCTGGGCCACTTGGCCGTGCAGTTCGCCAGCAAGATGGGCTACGAGGTCGCGGTGTTGTCTCAAGGTGACGACAAGGCCGCCTTTGCCACGAAGCTCGGTGCGCACCACTACATCAACACCTCCAATGCCGACTCCGCCGCCGAACTGACCAAGCTCGGGGGCGCCTCCATCATCGTCCAGACGGCGCCCAACCCCAAAGTGGTCGGCGCTCTGGCGGACGGCCTCGCCCCGAACGGCAAGATCTTGAGTCTCGCGCCCGTCGGTAACGTTGATATCAACACCGTGACGCTGATTATGAAGGGCGCAAGCGTGCAGGGCTGGGCGAGCGGCCACGCGCTGGACAGTGAGGAGGCGATTCAGTTTGCCTTGACGCACGGCGTAAAGTGCATGATTGAGAAGTATGCATTCCGCGATGTCGAAAAGGCAGTCAAGAGCTTGGAAGCTGGCAAGCCGCGGTTTAGGAACGTCTTGGTCATGGAGTGAGGGCTGGTGTCAGTGAAGGAGGAGGGTACGTGTAAGTGGTGTGAGAAGTGCAATATAGCGAATCTTAGGGGTGTAGGCCTCGGACTAGGGCCATGTAATAGTTAGAGCAGCAAATGAGTTTCATCGCTCGAGTTTTGCAATACAATTTTTTCTTTAAAATGTCAATAACCTGAAAGTTAGTGATGCGTTAAAAAAGCAAAACATATGGGCATCAGACCGAGTCTATTGGCATCGCATCGAGTAACAATTTGGACGTAGATATTACAAGTATAAGCTAGCTGATAGTCTCTACAACTGGGCCAATGTCTCCCAAGCACATCCGATACTCTCTGATTCTCCACCAGCCTACCGCACAGCTCTCAGCGCATCACTCTGCCCCAGACAATTTGCCATGATTCCTCCGCTGCTTCCCCCGTCTTTTGTCTCACAATGTCCAGGACAATCGACGTAAAGATGTATCAGATCCCGGGAGAGGAAGAAGCCAGCGCCGCAGTCGCTAATCCGGCCCCTCTTACGCGGTGGGTGCGTCGGGCACCGGGTAGAGCTTCTGGGTGGGTGCGGTGGGTCGCGGCGCAGGCTCGCCGTGCCAGATGGTTGGCGCGCCAGGGGGGCAGACGACGGCGGCGCAGAAACAGTCGCTGGCCGGGATGTTCCTATCGCAGGAGATTGCGTTGACCGAGATGTCGCAGCAGCAGCAGGCATCAATGGGCGGCTTGGGCCCGTGGACGGGAGGGCGGAGGGCAGAGGCGCCCAGCAGAAGCATGGAAACGACGGCAAGCGAGAAGGTCTTCATGGTTTTGGTGGTTTGTTTGCGTGTTTGCTTGGGTGTGTCGGTGTGGTTTGCCGTAGGGAGAGAGAGAAAGTGGGCGGGCTTTGTTCGACTTTTATTATTATTTCATGGTTAGCTGCTTCAAGGGAGGCAAAAAAAAAAAAGGAATGTCTCATGATCGCAAGACGCCCAAAAGTGCGTGGGGCGCACTTACAGCTTCTTTTGTCTGTCTCGGGTGGATGTTGATGATGTTTCTCTTTGTGCTGGTCAGATGCCGAAATTAGAACAGCAGAGCAGAGGAGCGTTATCTAGGCGACTGAGAGCGCGAGAAGAAAAGGAGCGACTTTGTTGAGGATTTATTTGAGGATTTATTGAGGAGAAGAGAAATAAACAAGGATGACAATGGGAGAGGCCCTGCCCCAGTGAAGCCCTGCTAATTTCTCTTGACCTGATTTCGCTCCAGACCGTGGCACCTTGGCGCGCGATTCAACTCTCTGACAATGTCTATCCGAGGAGGCACAAAGCGCGCGTCGGCCAAAGCTCCTTCCTTGCGCCTGCGCCGCTGCAGCACCTGTTCACCACTCCTTCCTTGCCTCGATCATCTCGGCTGAGAGAATGAGAAAGAGAGAGAAGGAACTGCCAAGTTTTTGCTGATCTTCTGACGTATAAAAATAAGCATATCTTATGTAAATCTTCATTCCTGCAGTGTCTCGGCCCGTTTGGCTCTTCTTGGCTCTGCTCCTTTTCCCTGTTCTGTGCGACTCTGCTTCACAACCTGCATTCCACCCAACCCCCAATCACTCATCGAGGAACTACATTTATCTGCGTCCTTTTTTTCACAGCTACTACTAGTGGTAATACTATTTGTTTTGCGAAGGCTTTTTTTTTTCGTCTGATACCACCGACTTATTACCTAAAATGTACTCGCACCAGCTCCGAGCAGCGGCACGGGGCATCGGGAGGCTCCTGTGACGGCTGCCTGTCTCGCCTGGCTTCGCCAAAGAGGCCCGAGTTCTGGTCTCGGCTTTGCCTTGGACTGTATTACGCTCATAAGCACAAAATAGCAGCTGAAAGGGCCCGTAGTGTTTACAGGAGAAACCGAAATGGTTCTCATATCGTTGAATTTACGAACCGCAGACATGCTCCCAGGTCAGACCTAACTCTAGCTCTATATAAATAGGTAAGATTTCAAGGCGGCTGATGACGATGGCCAGCTTTAGACACAGCTCATATTAATTCACAACAGTCCAAGCGGTATTGTAGCGTTTAGTAAAGGCAACAACCGCAACATCAACCAGGAACTCACGGGTCTGTTGCATCTTGCAAGATTGTGGCACCATCAAATCATACAACTTAGTTAATCTCTTGGGCGTCACTGGATGCGATCTATACTACCCCATCGCGCTTTGATGCTAACAAGTTCAGGTAGCAGCTGTTTGAATCAGGTAGATGCTCATGATAGTCGCAAGTTCCTGCTTTGAGAGCCAGAGGTGCGGACGGGTGAGGTCTCTTTGCCAAAGTTGCAATGGCAAGATCGAGAAGGAATTGTTTAGGCAGGTCGTCTTTATTCGCCCATTGCGTTAGCCAATCCGCACATCCATGGTACGTATATAAATCAACCAGAAGGCGTCGAGCGGCCGATGATTCCGGCGTCCCCTCATATATGTAGCGGATGGCCGGCCCAACAGGAAACCATTTCTGACCGTCCGATGCCTTGGAGCGGGATTTTACCAAGATGGCATCTAGGACAGCGTCCCTGAAATTAACATCCTGAAGCATCTCTCCCAATACGTATGCTTTTGCGAGTTGTACGTATTCAGTGTTTCCTTCTAATCCCGGGCTATCATTCTGGACTGGGAATTTTTCAAAGTACAACCAATGCAGGTATATCTCGAACACTTCTGGATCTTCTTCCTTAAGATTAACAGACCCGCTAACAGATGTCGTCCAGTAAGCTTTTATAGCCCTTTTGAAATATTCCGAAGTGCGACAAATCAAATTCTCATGAACGGAGAACGTCACGGGGGTGGTTGATCCAACCGTAACAATAAGTGCTCTGCCCCGCAAACTACAGCCTGATTAGACCAGGATGAGATATCTGGAGAAAGGTGTCAACTCACGCCGGGAATTTGTGCTTGTACGTTCTCAGCTGGATTGTATCCATTATCAATACAAAAGGTTATGCAGTATAAGATGGCGCAAATGTTGTAAATATGCTCGATCACTGTTGGACACAAGAGCGCTCTGTGTCAATCACGCATTTCACAAAGGCCTGACTGGGCTGTGGGTCCACGGTATGTTGGCTAAATTAGTAGAGGTAGCGAGCACTTGACCTTGGAGCTTCTAGGTACCAGTTGGGCTTGCACTGCTGCGGGACCGGGCTTGGCACGTGTGGTCGGTGCTGCCCATACGCCAGCGGCATAACGAACATCTCACTGCGCTTCTGGACTATACCAAGTGATGGGAATCTCTGACTCGGTGTCGATCTTCAGTAATGAGGAGACTCAAGCCTTGCTCTAGTAAGTTGGGCAGAATGAAATTAGAAGGGCGTGCAGAAGGCATGTTTAATTGTACAACTCGTGACTACATGTACGTACATATAAAATGCGGTGCACGGCAAGGCTGGCTGCCAACTTCAGTTGCATTGCGTACCTACAGGTACATGTAGTTAGGCACCAGCTCGAATATATCTGTTGCAGCTAGCTAGGGGCGCTACATTCTCAAATCATCCTATGATTCCTGTCAATATTGGTCAAAAGGCGACCTGTACTGCTTGAAATGGATCTCTGTCCTGACTGTGACGGCTTAGCCGTTGCAATCTCCAAGAGGCTCGAACATTGGCCTGGCCTCGATTCATTCTGGAATGCTACTCGGCGACGGGCTGGTTCACGAGACTGCCGCCTCTGCAAAATGATGTCCGACTTCATCTTCGACAACCCAGATGTGAATGCGCCGGTACCACCCACACTCTCCAGAATATACTATGGGCCGACTGATCGTGAGGGCGATGCGCTCTCGTTTGTAAGGTTTCTTGGCGTTTTGGGCAAACCTCCTCTTTATTATTCTGACATATCGGTGTGGAGCGACCTCGGTAGGCATCTTGATCATTTCACGAGTGTCCCGAACAAAATGTTGATAAAGATGCTTTCAAAATAATTCTAGGGTCTTCCGCTGCCGTTTCTGGCAAAATATGTACGTTGCCACAATTGGCAAGTGACAATGGCTCAGAAGCATTTGCCTTTATCAACTCTTTGCTCAAGTCTTGCTTGCAGGAGCACGAATCATGTAAAAGAACCATGGCTAAGGCGCTCGTCAACGAAACGTTGGGGCCGCAACTTCCAACCCGTGTATTAGATGTTGGAGAAATCAATGGCGAGCGCATCCATCTTGTAGAAGCCAACGGCCGGCATGGAAACTTTTGTGCCCTCAGCTACTGCTGGGGCCCAAAGGGCACGCAGACCATGATTACAACAAGAGACAACATCAACGATCGCTTCGATGGCATTCGATTCGATCACCTGCCAAAGACCTTTCAAGATGCGGTCATTGTCACGCGCGAAATTGGCGTTCGCTATCTCTGGATCGACAGCCTTTGCATCATACAAGGAGACCAGCAAGACTGGGCAAGCGAGGCCGGTAAAATGGCTGACGTCTACCAGAAAGCACACTTGGTCATCGCCGCCTCTGGGGCTGAGAATCCAGAAGTAGGCATCTTTTCGAAGAAGCGTCGATGCCCGTATGGCGTGAAAGTCCCCTATTACGCAGAAGACGGTCAAATGAACGGCTTTATGCATCTCTCCGTGCCTGTGCAAGGGAATCCTGCATCATTCTGGGGCCCGCTGAGCAAGAGAGGTTGGACCCTTCAAGAGCAGCACTTGGCACGGAGGATCTTGTACTTTATGCCCGCTGGCATTACGTGGAAGTGCAACATGTTAATGACCAGCGAAAGGACCACGGCTCAACTGGAGGACTTTGGAGATTGGACAGACCTACTGCAGAAATACTCGAACCGCCAACTCACTTACAAGGAGGATCGGCTGGCAGCTGTGGAAGGGCTAGGCCTGGCGATTCAAGAGGCCAGCCATGACAAGTATAACCATGGCATCTTCGAATCAACCATTCCAGAGCAGCTCCTCTGGATGATGGAGCATCGACCAGACAAGTCAGACCGTCTAGACACATTGCCTTCCTGGCACTGGGCTTCCACAGGGGTGCCGAAATTATTCTGGAGAACGCAAGGAGCAGCTTGGCGAAAGCTACACGAACAAATCTATACCGAGCCATCTGGCATCTTGAAAGTGCAAGGCTTTCTAGCCAAATGTAAAATCCTTCGCACAAAACCGAGTCAGACCGGCCCTATAGAGGATGACCTATTTTCTAATCTGCAGTCAACCATCCAGCAATCCAGGAGTGACCCTTTGCGCTGGATTCAAACATCATCTAGGCCTGCTCGACTTGCCGGCATAGCCATGTTAGATGATGAGCATTTTGCAAGCGCATATGTCCTGTTTTTGGTGCAATGGGAAGACTACGGCAAGTAAGTGTCCTCTAATAAATTTTTTTTTCTTCTAATGGTTGCAGAATCGGAACTGATTGAGTTTGCACATCAAGATTGATGAATACTAGATCCTGGTTTACCTTTGATGATGAAGTGGAGTTTAGCAATAGAGAGATAACCGAAGTGAATAATAACCAGGCTTAAGCCAAGCCCAAGAATCGACATGCTTGCTAACTGACAGTCTAGATGCCATACCTAGTCTTGCTGCTTAGGCCCAGTCCTACCAGAGAAGGCTGTTTCCAGCGAGTCGGCATGGGACTTGTTATTCTGGACCCGGACAGTGATGGCGTCTCAGCCACTCTTGAGGATATCACCTTGGTCTGAGTAGATTTAACTATGCGTTGGCTTAGAGTATAGCAGAAAATTGAGAATTGAGACCGTAATGAGGCGTGCCAAAATTTGCGAACCTTGAGGTTAGAAGTGGTACAGTATTTGACGCTGGAACTGAGTCGCCGCGCGAATTATTTTTTTATGCATATACGTAAATATATACAAGGAAAAGGAAAAACATACTCCTTTCTCCCTGAGTGAATCATACATTGATTTGGAACATATAGCAAATAAATCCAGCTACACCTACGCCCAGTGCCATGACCATTGCAGTGCATCATTTTCATCCATCAAATTTGCCAATGTGATATATAGAACAAGAATTGGAAAAAGAAGAAAACACGAAACGCAGATTTTCCCCCATGTAAAATGCACTAGATCATGACCTGGTTCCGGGAATGGGAAGAATGGGATACAGAGAGGTGCTCTCCTTAGACTGGGGGCGCTCATTGGCAAGCGGACTCCTGGACTTGCCGTCAAGGTCCATGGCGTCAACATCCCTGCGGATTGTGCCAATGTTGGGATATTCATCTACATAGTCTCTGCGCTCCAGGCGTACTCGGACGTAGTCGCGAAGGGTTTCGATCGCCTTCATATCCCCGACCCATCTTTCGTATCGCTCTTCTCGCTCACGAGTGCCCTCACTGATTTCTGATGAATCAGAAGAAGGAGACCCGACCGATGGCGCAGATTCACTTGCTCTAGGTGTCGTTGCGCCGTTCGCCTCGCTGGAAGACTGTAGTGGCGGTGATGGTGGTGCACCGCGAGCCCGTTGGAGCATACCGCCAGAGTAGCGACGGCGCTCGCCAGCGTCAAAGCTAGGACCCAGTGTCGCCGTAGTCGACTGGCCAAATCCATGGCTGACGGCAGGCAGACTGGTGGGGAGGCTAGGATACATGACTGATGAGACAGTTGAACTGTGGCGAGATTGCGGCGAGAATCCCGAGGAAGCTGAGGGGCTTGGTGAGTGGCCAGAGGAATAGGACATGGCGCTGGAGGGCGGTGTCACCGCAGGAGTGCCGTGGGATGAGATGGCAGTCAACGGCGAGGCCATGTTAGCCGCCGAGACAGGCTGGTGGTAGCCGTCTGTGCCGACGTGCATGCCAGCCGGGCCTCGGTGAAGGGCAGTGGGTGATTGGGCGCTGCGGTATCCTGCAAACTGGCCATCATGGGGGTGGATTCCGGCGGTGGCGTGAACCGAATTTTCATAAATGGTGTCCTGCATCTGGCCTAGGAGATGGTCGATCTGGATGAGATCTTTTTGTGTCCTCGCATTAGGCATAGGTAGGTAGTATTGCTGCGCCAAAGGATTCTGGCTGGGTACAGGGGCTGCGTGAACTGCAGCATGGCCGACTGGCTGGGCAAGATAGGGCTCCGTGGCAGTCATGGGTCCGTGGGACATGGCCAGCGCGCCGTGGAGAGGGAGCAGAGAGCGGCTAACCTGGGCGTACGAAGTCGGATCGACCTGGCGGCGTTTGGCGCTGCCGAAGAAGTCGTCCACAATATCGAAAGTACGCTTACGCTCATATCCAGCCGTGTAGCCAATGTGCTGTTCACTGCGGGGAGCAGTGTTGACGTGCTGCTGGTTAAAGTAGAGTCCATAGTTTGTCGACGGCTGAGGAGCGTAATAGCCGCCGGGTTGAGGATAGCCAGGGACAGGGCTTCGCATCTGCCCATTATGGTCGTAGTAGCTGGGGGCTGAAAGTCTGAGTTAGTAACAGTGAAATGAACCCTTTAAAGGAGCCACTCACGCTTTGGCACCTGTGGTCTGTAGTTCATACCTGGTGGGTTATCCTGGCCGGGCCTGGAAAGAACCGAGTCATCGGCGTGAGTCTGTAGACAGGAGAATGTCAGGAAAATGCCACTTATAAAATTGGTACCTAGGCAATGGGTAGATACATACTTTGACGTGCTTCTTCAAGTCTTGCGGCCGCTTGAATGACTTGCCGCAGAACTCGCACTTGTGAGGCTTGAGGGGAACGTGAACACGGATGTGTGAAGTGATGTGATCACGCTTGACTGTGGTGGTGCGGCAAGAGTTCCACTGGCAAGTGAGGCTCAGGTTGTTTGTGCTTTTGCGACCAACATGGCGCTCACAGATGTGTTCCTGCAGGGTGATATATCTGGTTAGCAGGCACGATACAAGAGCAGAGTCTATAGCTCTAAAGGTACACCAGGCAGTCTAGAAACTGAGAGTGACATGCTCTTATACTATCACAAGCGCAGTCGCCTCCCACTTTCCTTTCACTCCTCCATAATTCCAGGCTGGTTGCTGCTGCTGCTGCTGCTGCTTCTCACACTTACATAGAGGACCTCTGCATTGGTAAACTTCTGGTTGCACTGGTTCCAGCGGCAGACGAGCGCTCGGGGCGTGTCCATCGAGTCGCCAAGCGGCGGCGAAACCTGTGCGCTGGACGAAGTGCTGCCGCCATTGTTGCTGGCGCTGGTATTGGTGGCTGTGCCGTTGCTGCCATTGGCGCTGGTGGTTGACGATGCGTCTGCGGGCGATGCCGACTTGTCGAGGCTTGGAGACAGAGCCTGGACGGCCTCGGGGACCTGGGCCGACATTTTCGGAGGTTGCTGTCGAATGGTGGGGCAGTTGGAGCGCAAAAAAAGGTCTGCCAGAGGGCTGCCGAGATTCTTTCGGGGAGGGGCCACAGGCGCGCTGGCGCAGGGAAGGGCCGAGTTTTCAGAAAGAGGTCGAGGAGAGATGCAGCTTTCACGAGACAAAACGTGTGCTTTTCAAAAACTCTCTTGGAGATGTGAGGAGAGTTACGACACTCAAAAATATGGGATTATGATCGGGGGAAAAGACTCGCGCCTCTTGGAAGGCGATTCTGGGGGCAGTTGCTCCCTTTACATCGTCACAAAGGCCTGGGCAAGCAAAAGAGGGCCAAGCGGAAATTCTTGGCGGTCTTGGCATTTCTTGGCGTTGCTGGGCTAGCGCATCGAATGGGGGGCAACCTGGGCGCTACCTGAAGATCGCGCACTGGGACTGGGCGACGCCCGCGTTATTCCCAGCACCGGAAGGTACCGGCGAGGTAGCCTCTAGCAGGCCAAACCCACCACAGCGCAGGTGCGCATACGATGCCAAGAAATGCCAAGACTTGGCATCCTTGGCGCGGTGCCCACCCGGCGCCTTCCATTGGCCTTGGGGCCCCAGCAGCGACTCTGGCGGTCCCTTGTGGTGGCCGCTCACGCCGCGACTTTTGCGTGAAATGGATGAAGGATGCACATGTCTGCGGCGTCCGGTCGAGCCATTGTCGGTCTCGTCTCGCTGTCCTCATCTCTGCTGTCTCTGTTTAATCTCTCTTTGTTTGTCTTTTGTTTTCCTGCTTGACATCATCTCTTTATAATCTTCTTCTTTGCAGTGGTGTGGCGGTGCTACTCGATTCTTACAAATGCCGTGTCTGAGCCTTTTAGACCAGGCTGAGGTGATACAGACGGAGAGTTACTTGTAGATCAAAGGACGGAAGAAGCAAACGAAATAAAGCTTAAACAAACTCGGTTCGGACGGCAAGGGGGAAAGAAAAATACGGGAATGGACCTCCTTGTCTTTTCCCTTTGGCAGGCAGCCCAGCGGAATAGCAGCAGATGTTGCTCCCGCCATGCATGCTGCGGCTGCTTGTACTTGATGCTCCTGCACAGTATAGGTATTCTTGACTTGTTTCGCAATTAATGACTGGCCCATTGATTGATTTGATATCTGCTTTGCCCCGATGCGAGCGGAATTCGGCGGTCACTCAGCCACTTTGTTGCGTCAAGCAAGCAAAGCCGCGTATGTACATGTTCGATACGCTCCGGGCTGTGCTCGTCGCTCTCGTTTGTCGCTCTCGTCTGTACGGAGTATCTCGCAACAGAGCCTTCTGTTGGCCTATCGCTTTCACTTGAACGTTTCTGTCTGCGGAATCCCACCCTCCGTGCCGTGCGGTGGCCGCTGTGGCCAGCTTTGCGATGACTATTCAATGCCAACGGATTGTATTCCTGCTGTCCGTTGGTTGGAGAGGCCTCCCCCGGATTTTGCCTGTTAGGGCTCCCCCTTTCTTCTTTTGGCTGGTACCTGTATCATAGAGGAGAGTACATGTAAATTATCAAAGACAGATTCATTGAGACATCCATTTACACTATTAACTATCATCGACACTATTGCACAACTGCATTTTTATTCATATTACCAACTAGTATTGCCATCTTCCATCTCGTGGTATACACGTGTAGGCATACCCGCCAAGTCGGATACTCTCCATTATGCATATCCCACATTCTTGAATCAAGCTTTTCCCGCCCTGCCGCGGCCCAGCGCCGCATTAGAGAAAAAGCCAAGCACGCCGAGACGCAAAGCCAAGAGCGCCGAGGCAGATGCTAATTTGTTTGTCGGGGCTACCTGAGGCTTATTGCTCTGGCGCCTCTCTTGGCATTGTGGCCACTGCACGTCAGCGGCCTCTACATTGAACAAGTACACGCATCTGATCGTTCCTATGAGCAATGTTTTTCTCTTCTCTTTTCAGCTCCCGCCGCCCCCAAATGCAACAAATGCGGTGACTAATACCCAATGAATCAACAAGCTTGACTTCTGTTCTCTCTTTTCTCTCTTTGCTTTTTTCTCACAGCTCGCTTGAGGTACTGGTGATTACTAGCAGCAGCAATAGTCCC